GGGGGGGCAGACCTTGATGTGCGGCCAACATCAACGGCTTCAGTTCCGGCTCGTACCCTTGCCAAGTATACACCAACCCCCAAGTATTAACCCTTTCTTTCCTGAGCGTCTCATGACTATCCCCATCAGCAGCTCATAGCGGTTCTATGGGGGGTGGAACGTACATGGCAGGAAACGCCCCTTCGAGCCAATCGTGAAACGCCCCGAACTTGTCCCACCTGTCATCCTCCCCGACAGGGCCAAAGTCGTCCCACGTCTCGGTAGGGATTCGGACGCTTTGAGAAAGCTGGTGGGCGGCGAGGGTTGGGAACGTTGGGTGGGAGAGGGAGGAGAGGAGCTGGGGGAGGAGGGGGTTGTGGGGTTTTAGCAGGGGGGGTTGGGGACAGCGGGGGGGTTGGACTGGGGAGGGGAGAGGGAGGGAGGTGCGGAGGGGGATGGGGAGGGGGAGAGGGAGGATGAGGGTGAGGATGAGGACAGGGATGATGAGAGGGATGTAGTGCCATAGTAGACGATGTCGATGAGGGAGCGTGCTGTCCATAGTGTGCAGTAGTCAGAGTGGGCGTCGATGCTATCGCTGTCGGTGTTGATTATCTGACAGTTGACAATCACGTGCAACCATCATATTCTGATCCCATAACCGGTGGTATTCGACTGCGCTCAAAGAGTACTGTGAGAACATCATGCGCAGGCCGAGACATCTGACAGGTTCGTCCTTCTCTATGAGAAAGGACGCACACGTGGCTTCCAAATCCCCGTCCAAGTCGAATCAGTAGTCCCAGTACTAGTCCCAGTGCTCTACCCAAGACCGTCTCACTGCGCACCTCCATCACTACCCGATCGGGTCATCATCTCCCGATCGGTGATCGAGTACCCCCCTGTTCCGTTTGCTCCCGCTCCGATAAGGTTCGTGGCGGTGTACCTCGTGTTCCCTTTGTACCTTGTGGCGTGTACATTGCCACTTCTTTAGCAGGAGGACGACGACGACGAGCACGATCTAGACGGCAACGACAACGAAGAAGAAGAGGGACAGCGCTCTGCCCCTCTCTAGATATACCATATGGGAACTGCGTACACTCCCTAGGGATGAGGATGACCTCCCCGACGCCGGCAGCACAAGTACAGTCTGATCCCCCTATTACACCCTCTCAACCCCAGCCCCAGCTCGAACTCGAACAAGAGCGACAACAACTTGGTGTCGAGCGAGAAACAGGAGAAGCAGAAGTAGAAGCAGAAGTAGAAGGAGGGACCACCGATGCCCCCCTACCTCCCCCCACTTCCACTTCCACTTCCAAACCAGGTCCCACCTCTACACCTACACCTCGACCAATCCTCTCCCCCCAACTACTGCACACGCACGCCTTCCGCCCCCTCATATCCTCATCCTCAAGCCGGATAAAGAAGGCATCATATTTCGCACTGCCGTCCCCTCCCGCTCCTGGCACGGAAGAGGAAGTGCGGCGAGGTGAAGCGCTCTCAGGGAAGGGGGAAACCAGTACTCCGGAACTCGTCCCCGCTGGCTATCCTTTCACTTCTACTTCTAATTCTAATTCGGCTTCGGCTTTGGCTTCGACTGCGGCTGCGGCTTTCGACTCCCCAAACTGCCCGCCTGGGGATAGCAGCTCTGAATCGGGACCTACGACACCGGCTTGTCCTAGTCCCATGGGGAGCGCACTCCCGAGTGGGGGAAAAATTGTGCCTGTAGGAGGTTGGAGGGGTGGGGGCTCTCCTATACCTGCGCATTCGCCTTCGCCTACACGTACGACTGGTTCCAAAATCCCGAGAGGTACAAGACCTGGTGCGAGGGAGGGTCAAACGCCGCCGCAGGAGACTGCCGGCCCGAGCACGAACCCGAGCACAAGCACGAGCACAAGCACGAGCACGAGGAAAGGACTTGGTCTACCCTCAAGTATGACAGAACCGAGTCGGTTCATAAGCAACCCTAGGCTGGCGATGTCTTTTGCACACGGGGGTAACCTCCGGGGAGAGAAGTTAACTCGGAAGGAAGATGCAGTGGGAGTGGGAGTGGGAGAGGGGGGAAGGGAGAGTGAGGGAGGGAGGGGAGAGGAAAGGGGCAAGACGTCGGAGACGACAGTGGCAGGAGCTTCCCGTACGCGGGTGGGCGAGCTAACCCATGGGGATGGCAGCTCCGAAGCCTCGTCTTCCCTCTCCCCTCCCCTACCCTCCCATTCCTCAAGCCCAAATCCGGATCCGAATGCAGATGCAGGTCCAACTCGAACCTCCTACCCAACAACCTCAACCCCAAACCACCCACACGCAAAGTCAAGCCAACTTCCTCTCATCCCCCAAACCCCTCCCCCTCCCCTTCCCCCTCCCTCGGCGAGCTCAACCCCCTCCCTCCCTTCCTCTTCCCCCCCCAACGTCCAGCCCCTTGCGGAAGTCGCAATCTTCGGCAGGCTAAGCCAGGAATACGAGACTGTGTGGGGCTTGGAAGATGGGGTAGAGCGACCTTTCGGGCTGGAACGATTGGGCCAGCAGAGCGGAATGCGGGGTGAGAGGGGGAAGAGGAGGAACGAGAGAAGGGACGGGATGGGAGGGAGGGAAGGGACGGGTGAGGATCACTCGAGAGGTGTGTCTAGCGAGCGGACGGGTGCGAACAGGCTACTGCGGGAGGCGAGCCCCGAGCAAGAAGCCAACGGATATCAACCCCCTTCCTCCCCCCAAGCCCAGCATCCCGCCACCACATCCTCACCCAACCCCAAACTCACCAAACCCAAACCCAAACTCCCCCCAGAAATCAAACAGAACTCCAGCAACAAAAGAGAAAAAGCCTCCTCCGCTCACCGGGCCAGGGAACTGGCGCTCCTGAGCTTGGAACGGGTCGAGAGGGTCAGTGTTTGGGAGAAGGGTGTGCCTTTGCCTTTGCCTGTGCCTGTGCCTGTGCCGTTGCTTGTGCCTGTTCTGGGTCTTGGGGGGGAGCTTGGGGAGGTTGGGGAGCGGGAAGAGCTGGAGGTGGGGGTGGGGAAGGATGAACGATGAACGATGAACCATCAAAGAGTGTGGAGTGCAGAGTGCGGCCTATTTGGAGTCACACAAACGCGCTCAGCCCATACTACGCCCTATCTCGAAAGCACCCCCCGCTCAGATGTCAACACCGTTCGGGTCCAAACAACCCAATACAGACTGCCCTGGCGAGGCCGAGTCATCCATTCATATCCATATCTTGCCTTATTTGGACTTTGAAGAAGGGGGAACGCGTCGCTGTTGATGTCGCCCTCTGGAATCTCTGCCTTGTCATACATATCATATCATATCATGTTTTGTACCATATCATATCATGTACCGTTCATTTTTGTTTTGTGGGTAGGGCGCGGGCGCCGATGATCGTTGTTGTTCGAATAGGGAATGACCATTGGGTTACAAGTATTGGATCCCTTTCTTCCTCGCAAAGAACCCCCTTTAGATAGCATGAGCTTTTCTTCTAAGTCCTTGGACCTGTTCACACTGTGGATTGCTCTCCGGTGGCTGCCTGGTTATCCAACTAACAGATCCAACCCATGAACCAGAACTAACTCCCTCCCCAGCCAAACGCAGTTAGATATCCCAAGGACTTCTCGCCAGTCCCCCAACACCCAGTGTCAACACCCTCCCCCCCTCTTCCTGCCCCTCAACACCCAGGCCCAGGACCTCAAAACAATCCTCCAGCCTCACGCCCATTTTGCCCAATACATACACCCCCGGCTCATCGGAGAACGTGTTCCCCACTTGTACAGCCCGGGGGTTGGAAGCGACTAGGTAGGGCGACTCGTGTACTTCTAGGCCGATGCCGTGCCCTACCCTGTGGGTGAAGTAAGGGCCGAGATGGGAAGTGTTGAGGTACGAACGCGCGGCGGCGTCTATCGTGTGAGCTGGGGCGCCGGGGTGGGCGGCGAGCAGTGCGAGGGACTGGGCGTGTTGCACGGAATACCACAGCTGGAGGTGGGAAGAAGGGATCTCTGACCCGGGGAGGGCGAACGTCTGCTCGCACCCGGGTGGGTTAGCAGTCGCTTGCAGAGATGGGAGGGACGTACTCGGGTGACGTCACTGTGGTACCCATGGAGGGATCCCCCACAGTCAATAAGTACAAAATCAGATTTCCCGATCACCCGATCCGTGCCTCTCCCATGAGGCAGAGCGGCATTCTCTACCCAGCACGATCAGTTCAGTTCCTTAGGCAGTTGAACAGAGCTGGAGCACCTACCCCCGACGAGGAAGATGTTGTCTAGATCTTTCAAGCCGGCTTGGGCTAGCGCTTGGCCCATCAGAGCGCGGCCCTGGGATTCCCGCATGCCGAACCTAAGCAAGCCGCGCACGGCCCTAATAGCCAATAGAGTCCTCTTCTCCCATCAGCCTGCGCCTGCACTGCAGAGAGGAAAATGTGCGCACCTCGTTAGCACACCTCAGGATCTCTAGCTCTTCTTCTGTTTTGCGTTCCCTGATGGATTGGATAGCGGGAGGAGCGAGCTCTACTGTCCTCCCTGTACGCCCTAACCCGTCAACGACAAACAACCTTGTCGTCCCGTCCGCCAACAACCTGCCCTGAGGCAGCGCGGCCACAGCAGCAGCATAAGGATCTTCTTCCTCCTCCCAGAGGACATACTCTGCCTGCACAGGCAAGGGCAAGAGCCTAGCGCGCGGAGCTTCGAATTTCGGGGTAAGGACACGTATGGGCCCTGAGCGGGGGATGATAAGTAGCAGAGGACGCTCGGAGAGGCCCCAGGAGGAGAGGGAGACGTTCAGGTAGTAGAGGGAGGAAGGGGAGGGCTCGAGGATGTATGCACTGGCGTTGAGCGATGAGAGGGTGGAAGTGAGCTGTGCGAGACGGGAATGGTAGGAGGACGCGGGGATGGGAGGGGGGGTGCAGTGCTGGGATATGGGGGTGAAGTCTGGGGTAGGGGAGGGGAGGGAGAGGTAGGACAGGTAGAGGACGCTGGAGAGGATGAAGAGGAACTGGGAGGAATGAGGTCAGTGCGTTGGAAGAGAGGGAGGAGAGGGCGTACGGGAATGATACGGGATACCCGGGCTTGGGCTTGGGCTTGGTGCACGTAGCCAGAGCCGGGCATGACGTAGCCCTTCTCCATCTCACAGTCAAGAGAGCAGCGGGCAGCAAGATGTCTAGTCACAAGCAGAGAGACGTGTAGCAGCAAGCAAGGCAAGACGTAGACAGATGTCATTCACACATTGTCTGAATAGTTCGAGCGATAAGGACTGCTTCCGGCTTCCTTTGTATTACAGTAAGATCACTGGAGATCACGAGGTCGCGCTACCTGAGGTAACTCCTTTCATTCTTGGAGCCGCGACAGTCAACAAGGTTGGGAGGTGAACAAGCAGTTCCAGTAAAATGATCGTAGCAAATCAACATCCCAGTCAAAGTCCAAGTCCAAGGCAGGTCTAACCAACCTGATCACATGATCTCGACCCTAGCTACGTCATACCACGACGGCCGGAATCCCACCGAATTATCGGCCCCCCCCCCTTCCTGTCCGTCGGCACTGCTCGCCTCCTTCTCGCCTCTCTTTCACTCACCAGCTTTGTCGTACTTACCGGACCGATCTATTCAGATGACTGGATGCACGATGCATGTGTTGTTAGCTGTACTCCTCTCTTGTTGACGGGATTGCTTGATACGCTGTAACCTTGAATAGTTAACACAAGTGAACAACAAAGCACGATCTCAACCCGCCACCGACCAATCCGCACAACACTCACCACAAACTGAACGACTAGACTGCACAACTGAACCACCGCCATGTCCGCCATGTCCGCCCTACACCCCCAGCCTTCGGAGGATAAGACCCTCATCCCCTCCTCTCCCAGCTTCCTGCTCCGTTTCTGGCAGTCCGTAAACCCCTGTACGTCCCCCTCCTCCCCACTCAGTGTATTACAACCCCATACTAACTCATCCCAGTCTCCCTCCCCCCCTCTATCCCCGCACGCGGAAACCTAGCCCGCGACCACCTAGCCAACGAGCGCACCTTCCTAGCATGGACACGTACCTGTCTCGCCCTGGCCACAACGGGCGTCGCGCTCGTCCAGCTGTTTGCGATCTCCGCGCTTGGAACGACAGAGGGCAGGCAGAGGACGATGACTATGGCCCGGCCTGTGGGGGGGACGATGGTCGCTGTTGGAGGGGTGGTGTTGGTTGTTGGTGCGTTCTGCGCTTTGGGGACTTCCCTGTGAGCGCGGTATTGACAGTTGACGTATGCGCAGGGGTACACAGGTACTTCAGGACCCAGATCGCACTTATGAGCAACTCGTTCCCCCCTTCGAGGATCGCCCCACTCTTACTGTCGATCATGACCGCCGTCCTGCTCGCGGTGGTGTTCGTGATAGTAGTGACGATGGGTGTGCCGTAGTCTTTATTTCCCGAGTTTTCGTCCTTTCTGGTCTTTTGGTCTTGTGGTTCTGTGTAGATGGGGTTCATGTAATGTCATGTTGATAACTAACAGACGTTTGCTCTGCGTAACGTTTACTTGGGATAGGAGCGCCTTTTCCAATTAGGTTCACAGCAAATGACTGCGCTCTCCCATCCGCTTGTACTTCATCCTTCCGGATCCCTGGTACGAGCTGCACCTCTATCAGCTTGGGATGGTGCACATTTGGCTGTTGCGAGGGGGGCATATTGCAGACTTGCGCCAGGAGTAAGCCAGTCGGAGGAGTCAAGAAGAGCTGGACTTGCAATGGAAGGGGCACGCGTATATAGCATATACTTGTTATCCTCGTGTACCAAAGAGAGTTCCTCGCTGTCGATCCACGTGTCTGGGCAAGATGATCGAATCGATCACAACCGCTACTCCGGCTCGGTCCGGTGGTAGCTGCGGCTCGGTTCCGGCACCCCATCCCCATCCCCATCCCCATCCCCATCCTCATCTCCGAGTCGCCACATGACAGACCCAGAACAAGGTGGCTTGCCATGACGTCCCCACGTCCCCCGGCTGGAAGGGGAATGTCAACCCATGACAAATTCCAGACATACCCATGTCACGGGAATGGGGAATTTGTTTGACAGGACGCCGGAAGCCGGGTTTGGGCTGAGACACTCCCTGTATGGGGGTTATGGGTTTGGCGGCCCCGTTATAGTGCAATAGAGATTATCCGATTGGTTTCTTTATCCGTCTCAGCCACCTAGATCGGTCAACGCTGACGCATCAGCTTCGGCTCCGGGGTAGGTTCGTGCCTGCGTGACGCTAGAGTGCTCGTTCGCCGCTGTTCTCTTGCTGGTATCTCATCCGCCCGGTTTGTTGATTTACTGGTTGTACGGCGGTTCCCAACGATAGTAGTGAGACCGGAGTTAGCTACTCCATTTGATATGAAGCTCGATAATGCCCATCATTCGATTCGAGGCCGCGGGACTGGTCACTGACCGCGCAGGCCCAGTCAGCTCAGGACGCAAGGGTTGACTGGAAGACAGAGAATGCACGGCTTGTCGCACGAAAGAATCTAGCGGTAAGAAGGGGGTTGAGCGAGCACGAGAAGGCATATATCTCTTTTTGCCTTCATGTGCTAGAGCGGTCTGCGATATCACGCGTCTTGATCGAGTCTGGCATGATATCTTGTCGGAGCACGTGTAGAGCACATGCCGATACGAGGCACATCGGATGATCCATAGAGCATTTCGAGTCGTTGCAAACAGAGAGCGCACCAAGTCACTCTCTCGGCTCCGGCTCCGAGCGCCCCCGCATCCCTACCGGCCCGCATCCCCAGCAGCAGCAACATGAATCCAGTTCCAGATCCAAGCAGGTCGGTGGCTTGCCAGCACTCGCATGCCGACCCCTTCGTGGAATGAAGGGTGACTAATTCCAGACATACCGGATGCTTGGGAAATGTGATAGGGTTGGAAGCCGGCAGCCGGGCTTGGGCTGAGACGCCGGGCGCTAGTGCATACTGTACATAGCGCCCTGGAGCCCTGATTGATATTGAGAGTGAGGCAAGAGTAGATGGAGTTCTGAAGCCACTTGAGTCCAGTTTCACGACTAAATACTTGCTGATGCTGCGCTCCGCTAGATCAAGAATGGAGTGGTCCACATCAGACGACGTGTAAGTACAAAGCCAAAGCACGGGGACAAGATAGAAGCCGGCTCGGCTCCGAAGGCTCCGAAGGAAGAAGCCTCGTGCCTGACGGCGACGCGAGATCTTCCGCGAGACAACCGGTTCTTCTTCCTCAGCCGCCACCTTCCGCCGTCTTTATTAATATTCTTGATTGTTGCTTCTCCCGCGGATTCCGAACAATCATTGGAGCTGATGATGACAATAATCTTACTGCCGACATCGATTCCATTAATGATTCTTCAATAGTGGCATCATTCGAGCATTCGAGGGTTACGGCTCCCACCCTGACCGCGCAGGCCAAGTCAGCCGGGCACGCAAGGAATGTCTCTCGCTGTCTCTCCCCCTGGGGCATGTGCGACAGCTCTTGCTACTCATGTGTAACACACCATGCTACAGATGGCTGGCACGACAACAAGCAGTTTCCCATGACCATAGCTTGACTCGCCGTCTCTGAGACGGCATGTTTCTGATCGGACTGGAATGGCTGGCATGCCCTGAGGAATTTGCGCTCGGGGCCCTCCGCGCGCACTCGTGTCTGACTCAAATCTCTGGTCTCTGACCGCTCGCTCCCGCCCTTCTCTCCCGCAGATGCTGATCTTCTCCGGCTTGCCCCCAGTTCGTCACCATCTCATCTCTGTGTTGCACTTAATCATGGATGGGCTCACTCTCTGGCCACCAGCCTCCGTCCGGGCCCCCAACCGGATATACGCACTCCCCCCTCCCAGGTGAAGGTGCAGGTCTGGAGACGGGACGGCCCCGATTCCGCTTCCGGAGCCGGTTTACAGCGCTCCGCCCTGGAACATCCACTGAATCAGATTTTCCTACGGCCCCAGCAAACGAGAAGGTCGATGTGATCGTATCATCCATAGGCTTTGCGGAGGTGTCTGTCCGAGCGGCTTTGCTCGTGTGTGGGAATCAGGGAGTATAATAGTCGATGAAGGGGAATTGTTTGCCCCCATATCCACAACTTTGCACACCTACTTCCAAGATTTCTTGTCCCCCCACAGTGCACCCCCCGCCCCCAACACACACACACACACACACCCAAAACCTTGAAGATCCTCAAGAACACCAAAACGCCAAAATGGTCCGGATAACAACACTACTCAGCCTCGCCGCCCTCCTCTCCCCCGCTCTCGCCATCACGTGCAACCCCGGCACATGGGCACAAGGCGACCACTGCCAGGCGTGCCAATCGGGCTACCAATGTCCGGACGGTGTGAATCAGTACCCGTGTAATGCTGGGTACTACGCCAATTCCGGGAATACGGGCTGTCTTGTATGCCCAACGGGTGCGTTTCCTTCCGTCACTTCATCGTCTGCGTCCTGACTCCTGCTTCCAGGTGCCTACTGCCCGAACAGCGCCTTATCATCATACAAGCCCTGCGACGCAGGCACATATCAAGACCAAGTCGGGCAAACGCAGTGCAAAGACTGCGCTGCAGGCACATATACAGCCGCGATGGGTCAAACAGGCTGCTGCAACTGCTGTCCCGGCTCGTTCAATTCCCAAACCCACCAGACCCACTGCCAAGCCTGCGCGAACGGCAAGCTTTCCCCCGCGGGGTCGACCAGCCAGAACCAGTGTACGGGTACCACTTGGGCTAGCCCGCCGGCTTGTACCACCCCGAGCACGTCTTCGACTTGTCCTGCTAGCTCGCAGCGGCGGAGGCACGTCTCTACCCGACGACGTGAGTGCCCTAAGGACGGGCAGAAGATCTGCCCTATCCTCCACGGGCGAGGTGGAGAGGAGTGCGTAGACGTCGAGACGGATCTGGAGTCCTGCGGAGGGTGCATGGATAGCCCGCCCGAGCTTGGAGGGGGCGTCGACTGCACACAGATCCAAGGGGCTAGGGACGTCGCTTGCCGTAAGGGGAAGTGCGTGGTCAGCCGATGCGCACCAGGGTGGAGGTTGAACGCGGACAAGAGCGAGTGCGTGCCCAGATTAAAGGCGCAGACGATGGCGCAGGGCAGGGGTGGACCGGCGAGAGCGCATGCGGCGTTCGTCAGGTCGCATCACTTGTAGACGCCTGGTGGTCTGAACTCCCTTCCTCTCCCTGCCCTCCCTCGTTGCGAACTTCTCTTATGGACTCTCCGGTGTACATTTCTCTGGTGGATTAGGTAGACATTGCACTGGCAAACAATAATATACATTACAACACATTATTTTCGCTTTCTCTCACCCTCTTAATCGTGATTACAACGGGTTCACTCAACGGCATCATAGTAACAACTCCGATCCTTCTTGCGGTCAATCAATCACTAACATAACGTAACTGGGAGTCTTCCATTCCACAACTCTTCCTTAGAGTAGAGGGTAACGTAATATTCGAGGGCCTTGACGACATGCTCATTCCATCTGCCCCGGTGGCTTGGGAAAGAATATGCCAGCCTTCTTTCGTGTGGCTTGTGGGGCCAGCCTCGTTAGCGTATATACGGCTGCCAGAGATGTTGCTAACCCGCAATGACGCTCTTAAGGGCTGAATGTGTACAACAAACAACGGTGATAGACGGCAGGAGCCCAAGTATACTATTCACGATGGATGCTCAATCCGGCAGCGGATAAACAGGAACAGAAAGAGAACCTGATTGCCCCAGCTACGCAGGGGGAACAATAATGTGCAACATCTCTAGCTTAGCCTGCAACAACGTCAGCCCCCCCTCTTCGCCAACAGCTCTCACTGGGTCGACAGCTTCTAACCGCCGTTGCGCTGCGTCAACATACTCACCTCCCCCGGAGAGAAGGGCGACCTTGGCACAAATTGCATGCAGCAGGATGAACTCCGGGTTCGGGACAGGTACATTTTGTGGATCAACTGTAGCAAATGTCACCGTTTGCAGGGGGGAATGGCTCCCAATTCCCGGGTACGCCGTGCGTACGACGTAAGTATTGGGAGTCGCCTAATATACGGACATAAGCCCTCATATGCATTTCTCAAACGTCTGGAGGTCGGACCGTCGCTTCCATCCAGACTAGGAGCGCATCCCACAAGCTGTGCCAGCCTTTCGTCAAGGTGAACAGATTCCACGTTTTGTTCATGTCAGGCCCACTGAGATCCATGGGGACGCTGGGATTGGAAAAGCGAGAAAGTACAGCGGCAACGCCTGCAGCGGCGGCATGTTATTAGAAGATATCAGGTGGCCATGACGTATTGACGTGATTAAGCGGCCGACCCTGGGGTTCTCATCATCATCCGATATACCCGCAAAAAGACCCTGGGGGAGTATGTGTACCGCGTCTGTTTGTTCAAGTGGCTCCTCAGCTGCTCGTGTGACGCGCTTCCCAAGCCACGAGGGAATATCGACAGTACCGGATAACACGCATCGGAAGTTATCCCGTGAAAGTGCCTGACGTCGTGCTCGTCAGATAAAAAGTATCTCAGAGTAGGCACTTAGCTAACCAGTTGTTTCTGTGCTCTGTGGTCGGCTGGCGGTGTAGAGAGCGCATGGCTATACCAGTCAATCCTACCTTCGAGTGATGGATGCTCGGATGGAGGAGTGTGGTCGGCTGGCGGTGCAGAGAGCGCATGGCTATACCAGTCATTCCTATCTTCCAATGGATCTCTTGATGGATGCTCGGATGGAGGAGGGGTCGTTTGGGGGCGTTTCACTGATCAGGGAAGGGTGAGCTTGGACAATAGATGAGAATAATTACTTACTAGCAACCACAAAACTCCCATAGTACAGCTGAGCAAGTGTCATGAGCCCCTCGGTGCTGGTGCAGTCGTTGATATCTCGAGCAAGCATCTGACGACCGGCGGCATGAAGCAAGAGTAGCAGATAGCCTAAAACCCGCGCTGCCACCAGCGGCGGAGCGCGGCCGGGTCCATCGGCTTTCGGCGGCTTTCCAACGGCCGTTTCCTCAAGGAGAAGACATTGCTTGTAAGCCGAAACCGCATCGCCGGTGAGAGGTTGGTATTCGGGTAATGAAGGTGCAGTGGGAGGGCGTGCATGATGACCGTTGCTTCCAGAGTTGGTCCTGTCCGCGGTATGGTGGCGGGGAGAAGAAGGTCACGTGATAATGACGTCGATTGTGTCGGTGTTGTTGAAGTTATTGATTGTCGTCAACATCAAACGAACAATAACATTATTGTTCATTGTTCATTGTTCATTGTTCATTGTTTATTGTTTATTGTTCATTGTTTATTGTCATGTCCTCTCCTCCCACCATATCTCTTGCCCTCAACGCCGCCCTCGAGCAGCATATCGGTCCATTCAAAGCCACGCCCGTCCAAGGTGGATCAAGTGCGAACAACTCCCTGGCATTTCTCATCACTCCTTCTGCCTCTCTCCTCCATCCAACAAATCCATTCCGCGACTTCGTACAACCAGGACAACCACATCAACAATACATTCTCAAAATACCTCAGAATGCCTTCTCCGCCGTCGCAGTCCAGAGGGAATCTGTCAACTTGCCAAAGCTGCACGCCTATCTCTCTCATCTCCAGCCATCCCCGCACCTACTACACATCCCTGTACCCGTGCCCATCGCCCAACTCCCGCTCAACGCCCTCCTAACCCATGCGATTCCCTCAACGTCAGACGGCAGCCGGGCATGGGTGACCAGCACTTCCGTCGCAGAGCGTCTCTCTCTCTGCCGCGCCTTCGGTCGAGCAGCGCGCTTTGTCCACGGATTCGCATTTTCCTCAGCTTGGGCCGACCTTCCAGGACCGCTGCGCACGATCCTCCCCACCCCAATAGCGGAGGACGTGCACTCTCTCTCGACGCTAGAAGACCACGCACACCCGCAAACAGCGCGCGACTGGCTCCGCCTTTACCTGCGCGCAGAGTCTGCCCGCCTCGCCCCGCGCTTCAGCGCACTAGTGCCTGAGCCCGAACCGCCCATCACGAGCGGGAAGGAGGAGCTCCTTGAAGGTCCCGACCTACGCAGGAAGATGAGAGAACAGGATCGAGCTGTAGCGTGTATCTCTACCATGGAGCGGGCGGTTGCGGACCCCTCTCTATGGGTAGGGGAGAGGGTTAAGACATGCTTCGTCCATGGGGACTTTACGCTGCCCAACCTGCTTGTCCGGCGGGAAGTGGCCGGATACCCTGAGGCTCCTGTTCCTGGCTCAGGAGGCGCAGGGGCGGGGGAAGGCAGTGTCCGCTGGACAGAAGTCGGCATCGTTGATTGGGGAGACTGCGGTGTCGCTGACCGGCGGTATGACCTGCGCATGGGCGTCTGGAGTGTGCTGTATAATATGGCCCTCGGAGGGGAAGAAGGCGAGGAACGACAGGAAGCGTACGTCCGCGCTTTCCTGGAGGCGTATGTAGGAGCTACGCACCATGATTCGGGGAAGAACGTGCACTGGGTGCTGGAGGATTGGGAGAAGTGGCTCGCACTCCGCCATGCTGGAGGTCAGGTGAAAGAGGGGTGCTGGGAAGCTTGGGCGGCGGCGTACGATGTTTGGGGCCTGATGGAAGAGGATGGGGAGGTGTTTGGCCCGCCAGGATTGGCGGTGGAATAGACGGTGAGTGCTGTTGTAAATATTGGACGATGGGCGGGAGGTTGTTGCACAAAGGTGAAGTGTTTGATAGAGTTGTTATAAAGAATCTAGCTGTGTAATTGGACAATAATGGTGAACAGACCCATAAGTGCACGAAGAAAAGATATTCGCCCATCCTATCTGCCACCTCCCCTGCACAGCGTTCGATTTCTCACGTTGGCCACAGAGCAAGTTCATAATACTCCAGCGAAGAATATCATTTGCAGGTACAGTATTACAAGCGGGTCACTCTTCTTCTTCATCCTCGTCCATCTTGATCTCATCTTCGTTCTTCGCTTCTTCCTGCATGACCGTTGTCCTCTCCTTCGCAGCGACAAAGCTAGGTCCTTTTGCCGCCCCGCCGCCTGTGCCTGCGCCCGCAGCACGTTCAGCCATGGCCATAGCGTCGCCCTCTTCCTTCTCTTCCTCCTCATCCAGCTTCTCCCCTTTCCTAGCCGCCACCGCCTGCGCAGCCAGGAAGCTCACCTCGGTATTATATTGGGCTTGTACGCTCCTCTTTATCCTCAGCATCTCCCTGAACGTATCCTCCGAGCCCGTCTCAACCTCAAAGTCGTTCCACTCCTTCCAGAACTCTGGCCGCACACGCGTGTCGCAGAACTGGGAAGCGTGAGCGTAGATCGCACGTGCACGATCGATCTCGCCCAGCTTGCGCTCGAGTGCGGCGAAACGCAAGGACATGGCTGCGGTCTGTGCGTCGGGGAGCACTTGCAGGGCACGTTCGTAGATCGGGCGTGTGGCAGGCAAACCAAAGTTTGATGCGGCTTTGGCGATGTAGATTGTGAACATCTGTGGGAACATTAGCACGGCCAGCGCGGTAGGGGTCTGGGATAGACACACATCAAACTTGTCTTCATCGGCCACCGCCGCTGTCGCCCGGTCATATATCGCCATCGCTCGTTTGGCAAGTCCGAAGTCCTCCTCCAGCTTAGCGTACATCAAGAAGAGGGGTTTGCTCTGCTTCGCTGGGCACTTTTCTAACGCTTGCTCGAACAAGTCGCGTGTGCGCTCTAATTTTGAACCTCCCTATTCATTTCATCTGTCAGCATGGTGTGTTTATAAAACGGGAAGCGAGTACGCACATAACGCTTGACGAACTTGCTTAAGTAGATATTCCAGATCTCAAATGCGATCGGGAAGGTGAACAGCTCAACTCCACGCTCATAGACCTTAAAGCTGTCCTCCCAATACTTGTTCTCCTCTAAGAACGCCGCGTAGTTGATAATAACCTGCGCATTTGCGATCCTGAGCTCGAGGATCTTTTCGTATGCCCGTTTGGTCGACTCGACCGTGCCGATAGACTCTTCGAGATCGACGTAGAATGACCAGAGCTTGAGAGATTTGAACAGGCGCGCTTGAACGGGGAGGGTCTAGAGGGAAACGAATGAGCAACGCAGAGCAAGTGAGGATAAGGAAAGACGCACGTTATCGTGATACGACACCTTGGTATTTTTAGGCAGGGCCGTCGCCCTCTGCATGACTCTTATAGCTTCGTCGTAGTTTCTACCAAGCAGTCAGCATCGCCGAATTAGGTCAAATGAACCTCAACTCACTCGGCCCTCAACTCCATCTCCGCCCACTCGATCCATACCTCGGCCAGCTCGTCTACCACGCGGAAGTTGACGCCCGTTGCACGCTCCAGCACCCGGCGTGCGCTCTTAACGTCCGGTTCTGCAGAACGGGAAACGCCACCCTGCTCGTAGAAGCGGGCGAAGTGGATGTAGAGCTGGTGTAAGTTCGCGGTGGCCCGCTTGGGTGAGATAGTGCGCAGGGCGAGTTCGTAGGTCTTCGCTACCTACGCGTCCGGGAGTTAGTGCCTATGCGTACGATGTAGAGTCGTTGGAACGTACCTGCTCGTCGTCCGTACCGAACAGAGCGATCCTCTTCTCCCACTCTTGTACATCATTCTCATTCCGCCTCAGCATGACCTCGTTAACCAAGAATGGCCTCCTATCCATGAGCTCCTCGAATGCCTTCATCCGCTCGTCCAGTTCGCGTTCTACTTCCTCCGCTTCTGAGGGGTCGGTGAGGGAGGGCAGGGATTCCATAAGCGCCGAGATGAGCGATTCGGAGAATTCGGCGTGGGCGTCGAATATCTGCGTAAAGTCGCGTACGGTGAGAACGCTGTTCTGCCCTTGCTCGAACGTCTCTGTTGCCTGTCCAACCAAACAATGTCAGTCAATCCTCACAAAAAGGTGAGCGGTACAAACCCTGTCGAAGTCTCCTCGTTTAGTCCAGTAGGTCGCCATGCCCGTCCACAGCCTACCCGCCTGGTCCTTATACACCTCCAGCCCATCGGTCTTGACTATCTTTTTTATATCGAGCTTCTTCCCGTTCAGGCCATCCGTCTCCTCTCCCCCTTGCGCCGGTGTCTCCTCCTCGTCCGGTGCGAACCCTACATCCTCAGAAAAGTTCTCCACAACTTCGAGGAAGTCGAGCAGTAACGCGTAAGGTGATCTTCCAGAAGGGGATGTGTACGTCCCCGCTGCCGCTTGCCGGGCAAGCTTGAGTAGCAGCTTGGCCGCCTCAAGCGGGCGCGGTTCGCCCCTTCGCTCAGGTAGCAACAGCGCTCCCCTGACCGTCTCCTCATCCTCCTCGTCAGCGTCGTCTTCCTCGCCAACACGACCTAACAACAGCCTGGCATACCGCTCCCCTAAGCTCCCATCTACCTTCAGGAACCGTCGGTAGACAGCAGACATCGTCGCCCCTCCTCGGGACTCGGCGAAGAGCAGGTAGAGCGGCCATATACGCGGGTGGAGGGAAGGGGGGAGCGTACGAAGTGCACGGTCGCATGTTCGCCGGGCGTGGGTGTGGGAGAGCGGTGCAGGGAGAGCTGGGTGGAGGAAGAGTTCGAGGTACAGTAGCCAGATCCTTGGCATCTAAGGTACGCATGAGCAGTGGTCTTGTAAGAAACAGAGGTACTGACGTTAGGCAACCACATGACCGCTCTCTCGCATACGGCGACAAGGCTCGCCCACTCCTTCCAGCCAAGGACACCGTCTACCCACCCTCCGACCCACACGTCCCTCGCACCCCACTCATCCTCCATCAACTCTCTTATCGACCCTGCCTTCTTCCGTCCTCCCCCTGTCTTGCGCTTGGGTGCTTTCTGTCCAAGTATTGCAGATCGCCTGAAGAGAAGGTAGGATTTTTGAAGCTTGAAGCTTTGCGGGAAGTTCTGCAACGCAGATTCGTATATGAAGACAATGCGCTGAAAGAGAAGTCGCGTCTCTTCCCTCTCAAACAGGCCTAGAGGGGACGCAGTAGGTCCCTCGCTGGAGCGCGTCGCGCGCTGGGCTTCAGACCACTGGGATTGGAGGGCGGAGATGGCGGTCCACCAGTGGCGGAAAGAATGGGGGTTGCGTAACAGGTCTTCTGTTTGCTGGATATCCTGCTGCTCGAGCAGGCTTGGGTTTGTGACCGGGGTGGGGATGGGCCATGCGAGTGGGAAGGGAGTTGCTGGCAGCGACATCGTGCTCCTCGCTGTTGGTGACGGTGAGCAGCGATGTTGAGTTGATGAGCAGCGCGTCTTGGTCGACGTCGAAGGGGTTTAGTGGCTGTGCTCACTGAGGAAGAAGTCATTTTGGGCGCTAAGCTGGCGTCGTCAGCGACTGAATTGACAATTGTAATTGTACACGACCATCATTCACTTTGACAATGGCTAGCAATGAACACACTGTCCTCCCACAAATAACGATCCAACCGACATACCCTTCTGTTCTTGCGGACGTCAACTCCTCTCTCGTCACCGCCGAAGACATATGGATATCCTGCTACCTCGAAGGCCGCAATTCGGTACACGGTAAAGTCCGCATCTCGCGCGAGAGGGACGCTCCTGGTGGAGTGAAGCTCGAAGCTCGGAACGGTGTGCAGGTCGAGTGGGTCAACAGCGTACGCCTTTATCCGTTTCCCTTGCTATCACTAACGACCTCTGTAGTCAGTGTTACGCGTCTCTTGTCCCTCGCTGGACATTCCCCCAACTCTTGTCCGTTTTCCTAGACAGTCGATCCCCGTCTCCCCAGGTACCCAAATTACCACTCTCTCCCCATCTCCCGACCTTTCCCTTCTCGCGACCGGCTCAGCAAGCGGGTCGATCACGCTTATCCCCCTCTCCACGCCCGACACACCTAATCCGAGCGCAGGGCCGCAAACGTTCACCCCGCACCTGTCGACAGTGCTCAGCGTCCGCATTCTTCCCTCCTCTCAAGTCATTCTGTCCTCAGGCTCAGACTGTCAGCTGCACATCTCCCCCGTCGTTCCCCCGCTCACACCGGCCCGCGTGCTGAGCGGCCATAAACGCGGAGTGACGGATACGTATATTGTTGACCGCGGACGGCAGGTGGTGAGCTGCGCGAAGGACGGGACTGTGAGAGTGTGGGATGTCGCTGCTGGGAAGAGTGCGCGGATGGTCGGACTACCGGGGTATGCGGGTGGGAACAAGCTGGCGGGGATCGTACCTCCCGCAGAGATGGACCTCTCCTACCTGCAGCCAGATGCTCCGGCGGTGAACGGTACCGCGCCTTCGACAAACGGTAGCATCCCCGAACAAGGGCACCTCCCACTGCTCGCCGTCGCCCTCTCCTCAGGCCTTTTCACCCTCCTCGACCTGCGCGTCCCTTCCTCTCAAACTATCTACACCTCCCCTAAGACCTCCACCTCCTCATCCAACGCACTACAAAGTATCGCTCTCTCCCCTACACAGATCTACACGGGGAGTCTGAAAGGTCAACTGAACGCTTACGACCTGCGACACCTTCCCTCCCCCCTCTGGTCAACAAAGCGCAACGGCTCGTCGATCGAGGACCTCGTGCTCTCCAGCCAAGGCCTAGCCGTAGCATCGGAGGACGGCCTTCCCTACCTGATTCGCGAAGGTCATGGAGGCCCGGAGGTGGCGGAGGAATGGGCGGGGTGGGAATGTGATGCTGTGCGATGTTTGAGGGCAGAAGGCGGGAGTGTGTGGGCGGGAGGGAATGATGGGGTGGTTAGACGGTATTAGGCGTGCAGTGCGGGATGTGCTGGTCAATGCTTGCTTGGCGTGGTGTTTGAGGTTTGGTGTTTGCATGCGGATCTGCTGCTTTCTATTTCTCAGCCTGCTTGTGCACCAGTGCTAGTTGGATGTTGTTTATTTGGACGTTACCCCTTCTAGGAATAACCAATGAAGCACCAATTACGAGCCATCCAAATCTGCAAGTTCTTAAGCTTCTCTTGGCAACTCCGGGCCAACTCCAGCTTTCTCAGCTTATTCCCACGCTGCATACGCTCTAATCCCCATTAATAAGGCCGCCCTCCAATGCCGGAGCCGCCGGAGTCCACCAAGAGGGAAGATGTTCCGCCCGCCCGCCTCCTTCGGGTATAACAGTATCATGATCCTTGATCCCCTATGCTCCGTTTCGAACAAGCCCGGCGGCGGGTGAGCGGCTTGCAATTCTAGTTACACTTGGTTGTCCGGTAAATACAGCATTCACAATACACTGCATGTACCCGAGTCAGTCGGTGTAGTGCCCCTCTGAAAGGCTGATATCTTCCCTTGCAAGAAGGGAATCTGCCGTCGCATCGTGACACCGAACCATCTTGACCAATCCTCAAGTACAAACAACTGCTACTTTCCTACTTTCTTCTCAACCACCAACCAATCCACCAATTTATCCAATAGCAATGGCGGAAACTTCAGCACCTACTCCTCCTCCTACTGATCCGACCCTCCTCCACCGATACCATCATTTCTCCCCAGCCACCGACCCGCTGCTCGCCTCCCTCTCCCCGAACTCCACGACTGAGTCGGAGGATCCGATTACAGGGGAGACGGTGCTCCAGCTCAATCCGAATGTGCATCTGGTCCGGCATCCTATTATCAGCGCGAAGCTTACGGTGAGTCCTCCCCCCTGGTGCATTCAATCCGCTGAACTGTGCTATAGGCACTCAGGTCGACCGCTGCTAGTCCCAAGACCTTCCGCGAAGTACGTCTCTCCCCAACCTCCCGAACCGATAGTACTAACCAAATACCAGGGCGTGCGGGACATCTCCCTCTTCCTAGCGTTCGAGGCATCCTCCGACCTGCCTACGTTCCAGATCCCCATCCAAACCCCCATCACCCAGACCACAGGGGCGCTGCTCGCCTCCCGCATCGGGGTAGTGCCCATCCTCCGCGCAGGAATGGGGATGACCGAGGGCCTGCTCCAGCTGTTCCAGGATGCGAACGTCTTCCATATAGGCCTCTTCCGGGAGAGGGAGACGCTGCAGCCTGTGGAATGTGCGTCTTGCTATGTCTTACCCCTTGGTTCCTCCCGTAGTTGACGTGCATGATCGGTAGACTACTCCAAACTGCCGGAGAACGTCGAGGTCGACCTGGTGTACATCGTCGATCCTCTGATTGCGACAGGCGGCACTGCCTGTGCGGCGATAACGATGATTGTACGTTCTCATCCCGTCCTTCTTCCTACATACTGACCTCAAAAACAGGCAGAATGGGGTGTCCTAAGTAAGCCCCCCTGACAGGCTGAGGTCGTGAGGCAGGCAATGACGAAGTACAGTTGAGAATATCCGTTATCTTGCGGTGCTAGCTTCTGCACCTGGGCTAGAAAGGATCCATTCCGAGTTCCCGGACTTGCATGTACGTCCACCCCCCCTTTCCTATGCTGCACAGGGCATACTGACACGGCGTAGATATGGGTCGCGGCTGTCGATCCAGGCTTGACGGAAGAAGGACTCATCACCCCTGGGTTGGGGGATACGGTGCGTCCGTTTTATTTGCAGTGCTTTATGTGCGTTGTTGACGTGCGGACAGGGAGATCGGATGTTTAATACCATGCGGCCATGAGGCTTCACGGACGAGTTACGGAGATAGCGCTGTCTGCGGACAGGGTTGATGATGTTGTGATTGATATGGTCCTGGTAAGAACCGGGGTGGAAGTTCGAGATGTACACGTTCTGTTGCTTCGGTTGCTTTCTTTATCGTCTTGTTGTCTTTCGTTGCTTACCCTTACTTTCGTTGTTTTCCTTGTTTTGCCAACGCTGGTATTTTATGTTTTGTGTAACCCTACTCGATGATATTGAATATCTTGGACAAAGAGTTCAAAGCTCTCTTATCGACCACGAGCCTACCGAACTGTTACTCTCTCAAGGTGACTATGACGTCGACGATATCAACGGAGCCGAAGTTACACCGGCCCAGCCGGCCGGGGAAACTCGGAGCCGCCAGAGAAACAACAACCTTTCCTGATTCACCCGGATCAGGCGCCCAGACGAAGCTTTTCGATCGATCGATCGATCATGGCGGATTGCCCAAAGCCGCCGTTCACGTGACCAAAACACGCACAACACATATCCCGACTTGGCTGGTGAGGATCATCTCTGGACCATAACCACCTCTTCGACTGTCTGCTTATGTCATCTCAGAGCTCCACCGCACACGACCGAACTCGTGTAGCGTTGTTATGCGCCGTACGTTAGCGACATGGAAGGAAAACCCCACGGACATCCTAGAAGCCTTGACCCTTAGCCGCGCACTTTTGGACCGGAACAGATGCCTGCAAGCGGACGGGTGATGGATGAAATATCGGGCGCTTAACTGCATCATACGGTGAGCCACTATGGCGTTGTTCTGGGGACACGGGTATGCTCTTACAATTGGTGCTCTAGTCTCTGCTACATTCTTTGCGTTACGAACCCTTGCCCCATATGATATGCTTATTAGATATCGCCGCCTACTGGCCGAATGATCGTCTTCGAAGTTGAGGCGCTGCCCAAACTCTTCCATGTTGGATTACATGCCTGATGCGGTGCTTCTGTTGGTCTGAACCCTTTAGTGGGCCCCGATCACAGTGAAAACACTTGGCATTTACTCTGACAAAGTGTGCTACGGGCATCACCGAGGTACGTTACTCTTATTTGATACAGCCTTTCATTCAAACCACTATGTAGGGCCCAGCGTACCGTCTGAACGCCTCGAGGAGGGAAGTTTCTCCGAAATACTACATCGATATGGGGGTTGGCCGGGGAGTCCTTATAAGTCTGCTTTGTGTTCGTGTTTTCGTTCTCTTGTTTATCCCCTTGAGCCACTTTCCACAACATGCACGTATACAACTCACATTTCCCTCCCCTTGATCTTTCATTTGCGCGCCGCTCTGTCTTTGACCACGTTTTCAGTGGTCCTATTCCTGGTAACAAGGTCGCTTTCATTGATGGAACGAACGGTTCACGACGCCTAACACGCGATGCCTTGAAAGAGATGTGTCTGTCGCTGGCGTATGGGTTACGGAACAGCCTGGCGAAGAAGGGCGCCCATCCCCTGCGTCGGGGCGACGTAGTCACGGTATTCAGGTGCGTGATCTTATGGTATCATCGCAAAGAGATATTGACTTGGTTATTAGCCCCAACACCTTAGAGTATCCCGTCATGTTACTGGCTGCCGTTGAGTTCTCTATTCTCGTTACTATTCGTAAGACTCATACTCCAGTGGCAGACTGCTGCGGGCATTATTGTATCTCCCACAAATGCTACCTTCACGGCGCAAGAACTCGCTTATCAGTACACCAACTCAACCTCGAAGCATGTTTTCGTCGATCCTACTTTGCTCCCAACCGTTCTTCAAACATTCAAGAGCATTGGGGTCTCCGAGGACGAGGCAAAAAGACGCATTGTACTCATGGCGTTTTCGGACCGTATTGACGAGAGCCTGAAAAACTGGATCAAACTAGACGACTTAATTGGACCGCAGAAAGCCGAGCCCGAGCCTTTCGACGGCATGCAAAGCAATACGACTCTGTTTCTTCCCTACTCTTCCGGCACAAGTGGGCTTCCGAAGGGCGTGGAGACTACTCACTTCAATGTGAACTCGATTGTAACCACAGTGTCTGTTTCTGAGATATACGACTCCGACACTATTCTTGCCATACTACCTTTCGTATGTTGTGACCTTCCACTTGCGCTAATCGCTGCTAAACTTTCTTTCTACAGTTCCACATCTATGGGCTTGTTCAAGTGAGTGTTATCGATGGTTGCGCAAGCTGTTGACTGAATCGGGTCTCAGAGTCTGATGTTCAACATATTTCGTGGCTCCCCGACGGTCATTCTTCCGCGTTTTGAACTGAACAGCTTTTGCCGCACAATTGAAAAGTTCCGCATTACGGTCAGTAGCGTGTCCTTGTATAGCCATGACACCAAGCTCACTCTATCTAGTTCGCCTACGTCGTACCTCCCATACTGGTATTGCTTGCCACGCACCCGCTTGTGGACAAATTTGACTTCAGCTCTTTGCGCTTATTCTTCTCTGGCGCTGCACCACTATCAGCAGATCTCGCGTTGCGTGCCCAGAATCGCCTGCGAGCACGAGGCGGTGGAAACGTATTGATCATGCAAGGTTATGGCTTGACTGAAACGACTTCCACTTCGCATCTCATGATTACGTGGGCAATCAAGCCTAAGGCAGGCTCTATCGGCAGAGCTTTACCGAATATGCAGACTCGCATTGTAGGCGAGGACGAGCAGACCGACGTTGAACCCGGCCAGCCAGGTGAGCTTTGGATCAAAGGTCCCACTGTCATGAGGCGAGTCCGTTGGTGTAGCGGTCATGAAAAGTTCTCATCTGTGAACAGGGGATATTGGCGAAATGAAAAGGCTACCAAAGCGACTATCACGCCCGATGGCTGGTTTAAGACGGGAGACATTGCCGTTATTGATGAAGATGGGTTCTACTTCGTTGTTGATAGAAAGAAAGAGTTGATCAAGGTATGCCAACTTTACCCATTGTTGCCGATCGTTGACCTCTGTCCCCAAAGTATAAGGGATCCCAAGGTGCGCTCAATGCCAATTTGTGGGGTGTAGTGATTGAAACGCGTTCGCAGTTGCCCCCGCTGAACTCGAAGGTCTATTGTTATCCCATCCAAAAGTGCAAGACGCAGCTGTCATCGGCCTGATGTCAGAAGCTGAAGCCACTGAAGTACCAAGGTGAGCGGTCCTTACATCTCATATTTGCCCAAGCTGATCGCCGTCAGGGGATACATCGTACCCAAAGGTGGACTGGGCACCCTCGATGCACGGGGACAGGCAAAGCTATCCAGTGAGGTACAGGAATGGGTGAAGGGCAAGGTCGCTCATGTGAGTTAGCCTACTGCATCCGGGCAAAATACTCATCTTCCGCAGCACAAGTACTTGAGAGGCGGTACGTGCTCTTCCCCGTCTACGGATAATTAGCTGATGCCCTTTATAGGTGTGGTGTGTATCGAGACTATTCCGAAAGGGTTTGTGTTTGCTCGGAGAGAGGATGTTGATACTCATACCTGACAGTGCATCGGGAAAGATCCTCCGGCGTGTGCTTCGCGATATGGAATCAGCCCCGAAGGCTAAGCTGTAGCGCTCCAAATCATAGGAGTAAGATGGCGCATATCGGCGTTTCTCCAAATACAGGAGAAAAACATGTCCGATATGCGCGATTGACATTGTGGCATACGAATGCTGTCATGGATTGCGTATCCTTAGTTCTGTGTGTTTCCTCTACATGTACGATAGGGCATGTGGATCGCCAGAGTTGCTAATAAGGGTAGTGTATTGCACGACGCGTGATGCATGAAGAGTGTCTATTCATCATCTATTCCAAATATATCAATACCCAATATATACAGCCCTCTAAGATACACAACTAGTGTGGCATACAAGCGATTATCTCGCTATTTGATTTTGAACAGTTTTGTGTGGCGATCGCGGCGTCGATGCGATGCGATGCGCTGATAGATGTGTACGTTGAAGTGCGATGAAGAAATGCCGTTGAGTCGTTGGTTAATGACGCTATCGCGATGCCTTCTTGCGCCTAGTCTAGTTGGCCGGTTGCCATCCGTTCTCGTAAAACTGCCACGAGATAGGGAACACGCCCTCGTCCAACCCTCCCGAGCTCAGAGCCTTAAACAAGTCCGGGCTCATGTCCAAGCTCCCCTCCGCGCACCCGGGGCACTCGTCCCTCACTTTTGCGACCGCGCTGGCACCCGTATCGGAGTTGGAAACGAGCAGGAAACGATTGCAGAAGTCGCCTGATGTGTACTGGGGCGCGTTCAGGGCGACGACGTAGTCTGCATCGGTGTCCGTGTACCCGCAAGCGCCGAGGCCTACTTCGAACCATGTTGCGCGGCCGGTGAAGACGGTGGGCTCGAGGGAGGAGGAGGAGGCCTGAGGAGCGGGGAGGGCCAGAGCCAGAGAGGCGAGCAGGAGAGCGACGAGGGAGTACATAGTGTGCTTTGATATGAGAGCTCGGACGATGTGCGACTGGCTGGGAGGCTGAGGAGGTCGATGCTGTTCGTCTGCGTTGAATAGTGCGCTTATATACGCATTTCTGGCTCAAGAGCAGCGATTTGCCGCCCCACCATAAACATGGAACGTCCTAAGCAGCATAGAGGAGCAACCCCGAAATCCCTCACTCGTTCGAGGCTAAACAAATCAAAACCTGTAATTGAAGTTAAGGACACACCCCAGTTATCTTTGTTGCGTGTGTTGCAGCTTAGGCCGGCCTAGACACTGCGGGGTGAGTCGGCAAGTACAGCACGGCATGAGGAGAGCGCCCATTACGCCAGCGGCAGGAAGGATATTATTGATTAACCATGGCGCCAGACCATCAGGGGCACCCTCGAATTAAATGTGGGGAACAGCCAGGGTTAACAAAGTAAGGCACACAAGAGCACAGAGGAGTGGAAAGTTGGTCAGAGATCAGTTGAAGAACACGCCCTTGTTTGAACAGCCCTGATACAACAACCCCAGAAAATTCCTCCGCTTCGGGCCGCACAGGCTTTATCCCCGAACATGTAACAGCTCGGAGCCGACCTTCTTCCGCGGCGATAAGCTGTGCCGAGCCCCGCAGGGGAAAACTTGGAGTCTCCGGCAAACCTTAATCGACAATTTTACCGGAGTGTGTTTACTCCGTTAGGCGTTCGGCTCCGGGGCCACCCGAGACAGAAATTATTCCGAGCTGTTTGTCCTGGTTAATCCGCTGTCCCCGCATGAGTCGGTAATACTGGGGTGGTTCTTGACGATGGAATAACATTGGACCCCTGAAGTTTACAGCTAAAGGTTATTTCTCTCAGTGGTCTGGCCCTAGGGCTAGGCCGGGCTTATAATAGGCGTTCGAGCGAGCATGTGTGTGACCGCTTCGGGAAGTTGTGGGTGATGTCAGTACTTCGTAGACGACAGATGCACCACTTTTCAGACCGCGGGTAAGGAAGTCCGAGTTTGAGTAGAGTGTAAGGTACTGAGGAGTAGGCTTGTCGGCCGATAGTCTTCCAACGCACGGATCCCAGTGTAGTCGTTCGGGACCCCCATGCCAATCTTATTCATACTGCAGCACGAGCGCCTAAAAACCATCCAGAGCTCGCTCAGACATCACCCCGCAGTCTCACTCTCCGTGAGAGAACGAGAGGATAATAAAATGAGAAAATGAGGGAGTAAAGTTGAATTAGCCAGACATCATGAACACACCTCTGCCCTACATAGTTAAGATCCCGCAAGGACAGACGTTTCAGTGCGTTTAGATTATCCAAGTCGGTTAGGGTCGACACGTTGGATATATCCAACTCCGCTTGGACATGAGGCACAGCCAGTGTAGGGGAGCATGAGTTCGGACGGTCCGAGGGTGAGAAATTTTCGGGTTCTTGTTCCCCGGAGTTGGGGTGTGATCCTGACCCCGGCGTGGTAAGCATTGGCGGGTTGGTGGGTTGGCGCCTTGAGGGGCTCAGCGACGATTCCGTTTTTGGTGCCCGGGGTTCGGGTGTCATCCTGACGCCGGGGTCGCAGAAACGTGTCTTGTTGATTCACGTTTGCCCGTACAACGGGCGATCAGCATCCGAGCCTCACCCCAGAGGCGCGCGGAAGAGTGGGTGTGTCAGAATTCCCACCTCGTTCCAGCCGGCTTGGATATATCCAAAGCACGGTCTTCAGGGACTTCAGATAATCTAAACACACTGAGACCCCTGGCAGGGATGGCAGTATCATCCAGGGAGCGAGGCGGCCGATGGGCGAAGCCCATTTTACAGCCTCCTAGAGCTTCGCAGGTTGGACTGGATCTGCCTGTCGAGCTTGATCGCGCAGAACCTTTCAGATCCTTGAGCTCACCAAAAACATACTTTTTCGGAATCGCATCGCCCGTATTGTGCGGGGTCGTCGAAGGGGATTAAGAGAAAAAAGAATCGATCGCCGTTGTAACCACTTCTTTGGAGCAGACAAGTATTCGAGAGATACTCACCGTGTTTGAATGGTCCGCTGGCCCCTTCCTCGCAGTTTGAATCGAAGAGTCGAGATTGAAATAAGATTGGGACAGTCACGCACATCGGTCAGGGCCGCAGACTAAATGCCAAAGGTTTTCACAGGCCGATAAGTTGTGATCAAGACACAGTCACACTTATATTGAGGTAATAGAACACAACCAACGTTATACTGACAAGGAGTGTGGGCAACACTTCACAGTTGCGGAGATAAAACGTTGAATGCTCACAGCGAAACCTTTAATCATGGCCTATGGTACGAGGTCACGTAGCCCCTAGTGCAAACAATGGTGTAGAGAATAAATGCGCCGGGACCGAGTGAGAGAGAATTCAGGTACCGCCAGAGCAAAAAGGGAAAAAAAAAAGAAAAGAATCCAAACACGTCCTGCGTTATGACGTCGAGTTACACACGGTATCTCGGCCACAACGGCCTGTCAGCATTCCAGTCCATGTCCATCTTTGCAGGCATCGGGCCAGTCTCTAGTAGTGTGCGGCCGACGGTGAAGTCATCCAGGATGTCACTGCTATATTCTTCTGTGTCGCTATCGGTTTCATACGAGCTGTGGTATCCAGAGCTCAAGCCAGTATTTTGGGGATAGCAGTGGTCGTCGTATAAACTCCAGTGCTCCCCAGAGACAGCGCCAGAAACGAATTCGCTGGATTCCGGATAACTATCCCTGGTCGCCAGTAAAGCAGGGTTATATGGATCGTCGATTGAGGGCATAAGTTCCTCGGGCTGATTAGAGGTATACCCGTGACTAGGCAAGCTGATATGGGGCTGGAGATGGTCATGTTGTAGCTCTGGTTGATAGCACTGCTCTGCGCAAGTATCGTACAAGAGACACAACCCGACTTCTGAGGCATGACCAGACTCTTGATCCAAGAAATCCAGTGGATCGACGGTACAATCTTCAGACGACAGAGGCATGGGATTGTCAAAGACTTCACCATCATCAAGGGGAGAGTAATCTGACAGCGCGTTTGTTACGTGGAGATCGCAATCCGACGGTTCAGAGATGAGCACGGCATCAGACGTGGAATGATGCAGAAATCGGTTGGTATTTTGACCGAGAAGATCGGGAGCGATTGTACCAAACATTGTATCAGGAGCAGGTGGTGCCAAATGGGTGATGGGAAGAACAGGGTCCGCACAAGCAGCGATCAGCATGTCAAGAGTCTCGCAAGAGGTCGAGGATGGGGCAAAAGGTACAGCAGGCTGGTCATTTGACGAGAACAAGATGGGAAGTTGCGCGTCGCTAGTCAGACGTGCGTTTTCCATGCTGGGGTTAGACGCCGGATCCGAGATCGCCAGCTGTGATTCCTGGGCGGGAGGAGGCGTTGTAGACGGTGGGCCACTGTCGGAATTCCTTGCTGCTTCGATAAGGTTGGATGACCGCGTCTCAGGGAGAGGAATCGTCAGTCTGGGCGAAGTAGAAAGCTCACACTGCGCGTTGCTACGGATGTTATTGATATATGCTGTTCGTTTGCCAAGCGAGGAGCGGGACCAGGCCGAGACGATGGAAGACGAGGAACGTTCTGAAACTGCAGGACGTGGCGGAGCTTGAGTTTCTTTTCCAGGGAAGGCGAAGTAGTTCGAGACTTGTTTCATAGGGTGCCGGGGGGCTTCAGATGAGCTGCTGGAGAAGGCAGGGGAGAGATGTCTTTTACCCAGAAACTTTGTCTCTGAGAAAACAATACTGCGGCCACCTATTCGCGAGTTAACAGAGAATCACATTCAGGCGAAGTTCATACGCGTCTTCTTGCCCGTCTTTTCCTTCACCATCACTTTTGCGGAGGCTTTCCCTTTGTTGAACACGCCAAGTGTGGAAGGTGGTTGAAGCTGAATCCCGGTTAGCCGTAATGCAATATTGCGAAGCGAAGGAATACACACAGTTATTCTATCTCTCCGAATGTTCGAAGGTGCCAAGCTGTTGAGCAATCCAATGGCAACGGGGCCGACTTTCTGCTTCTTTTTCCTGCATTTCTGTCTCACGTTCATTTGGCCGACCTCATCAGTTGATGAAATATCTTCTTTTTCCTCAAAAGACAATGGTTCTGTCTCTTTCTTTCGCTTTCGAGTCACTTCGGATTTCTTGATCGTCTCGTTCGGTACTCGTGGGCTTATTCCTGTGAACTTATTCTGCCTGATAGCTGCCTTTGCACGGCGACGCTCGCGACGTTCGGTGAGGCCTAAACCCAACGTCAGTAGTGACCTTAATCATAATGATCATACTACTCACGACGATCATGCTCCTCATCCGGGGTGTAGTGACGGCGTAACCTCTGACACTTGTGCTTCGCAGGGGGAGTCGAAGGATACCGTGAGTCGGCCCGGGCCGCGCTAGGCTGGATGTCGGGGATAGATGTCACAGGTCGTTCGCCATCGTCTTTCGGTACCGGTGCTTCATGCGATTGACGATCAATTCGGGCGGCCAGTAGGGGGCTTCTGGGAGTGATAGAAGGAACCGATGACGGCACTTGTTCAGGGTTTGACCACTTGGCGTACTCCTCGAGACCCTCTGCTGCATATATTTGCGCGAACTGCTTTTGCGTTTTGATATAGTGCTGGATCGTGGGTATGCGTCCCCGCCCTTCTGCTTCGTGTTTTAGTAGAACGTCCAGAGTTAAGTCTATCTGCGCCGACATCTTTCCATTGGTGGTTGGCAGGTGCCAAGTTGTGAACAGTAGACAGGACGCGCCGAGCTAGTGATCGTGATGACAACATCACGTGAATCCCCCGAGGCGCCAGCGGCTTTTTGTTGCCCTTCGCGTTGCCCTTATTTTCGGTATATTCTCAAAGGAACTAAGGAACACATGTGATTCGTACAGACGGGCTACGGCATGATGGTACCAAACTCAGTGCGGAGAAGAGAAGAGATATTACCACATACAACCATTACAGCGGTTCGGGATCCTTATAGGTGGCAAGGAATGCCTGAGGATTCTCACCCAGCTTCTTCAAGCGCTCTTCGTCCCAAGAAGTGGGTTCCTTGCCGTACTGCTTGATATACTGCTTCACGCTCATGGGGCGTTCACCGACCGGTGTCGCCCGAAGAGCATGGCGCTTGTATGGGTATATGTCGTAAGTGGCCGTGTGCCAGAGAACACGGTTGTCCCAAACGACAATACTGTCCTTCTCCCACTTGACGCGAACTTTGAACTCCTCACAGAGCGAGATCTGTCCGTAGATGAAGTTCAAGATCATATCGGACTCGGCCTTAGGCACGCCGACGATGCGACGAGTGTAGGAGGGGTTGACGAACAGCGCCTTCATACCGGTGACGGGGTGAACACGAACAACGGGATGGATGCAGTCGGTTTGCGGACGCCGGATGTAAATGCCTTGGTCCAGAGCTCCCTTCTTCTGACGGTCACTGCTGTGAAGCGCGCTGAGCTTGGAGAGGTACTCTTGTAATTCAGGGGAGAAGGAAGACAAAAGCGCCGCTCTGTAGTCACCGCGGTCAGATGACACTGTAAAAAGAACGGCATTGTGACTAACGAGTTACTCCAAATGGTGTCGCCCCCCTCAGGGGGGTTGGTGATCACCTTAAGAGAGGTCAGGCCGGGGGTGTTGATCTCGAAGCTCTGGTCAGAGTGCCAAGCCAAACGCCTGTCATGGTTAATGCGGTCGACATCCTTGGTTCCGTCGTTCCACACGACTATTGAGTGAGAGTCAGATAGACTGATCAACGCCTGGCGAATATTACACTTACGAACTACGGCGTCCAGGGCAAAATCGCTTGGGCCTTTGGCGGGATGACCGGTCGTCGAATGCACGTGCAATGGACCCCAGTACCTGGCGAGATCGAGCATACCCTCGATTGAAATCTCCTGCTTGCGGAAGACGAGGACACCACGTTTGGCAGCGAACAAAGCCCTGGTGACACAACGATCAAAGGAAGCCGATATGATAGAAAATCAACCTACATCTCGTCTTTCTGCTTATCGGACAGCTGGCGAAGGTCGATACCCTCGAACTCAGTGCCGATGCAAGCGGTCAGATTGGTGACCTTGGTCGCAGCGCCGAGGAACGCCTTCATCTCGGGATCGGCATTGAAACCGCGATCGGCCATCTTGAGCTCAACATGAGGCTCGAGATCACGAACAGGATAGTTGGGCTAACATCAAAGAGGGGTTAGAATATGGAGCTTGTGCACGTTCAATCGACTCACCAAATAGTGCTTATACTCGTACGTCTCGGCCTCGAAGGTCGGCGCATGTGGCATTTTCACAAAGGCCGACATTTTGACTAGGATGAAGGGCGATACGAGCAAGTACTACAAGGTTATCAAGCCGCAAGGGATGCTTGTCGGCGTGACATGCTCGATATATGTATTCTGAGCCCATCGGAGCGAACGTCCGAGATTTCCACATATCGAAGACGATCCACCTGATGAAACTTCCCGAGTCTTCGTCAGATCCCCGCGGCGCCGTGCCGTGTTCTGGACTTGATGACCAGAAATTTGGTTGGAGCAGGCGGAGGTCGGCAATGCTAAGCAGGGAAATCGGCGAACAGGCGCTCACACGGGCCGCCAAATACCGGAGGGCGGGGTCCCGACGCGCCCAAAGATAGAACGACAGGGGCGGGCCACCCCTCCACAACGGATCACGTTGGTTGCCGTTTCCATGAAAGGGCTTGCCTCCGTTTTGCTTCCCTATGAGGGATTTTCGCCCCTGAGGCCTCCATATAAGCTTATTGCGTAAATCCGGCATGGAGTACAGGTCATGAGAACACGGCGGTGTGGAGGGGAGGCGGGTTCACGTGTTCCGGTTTAGCCGTAGTATTACTCAGGCGGCCATTAGGGTTTGGACTAAGTTGAGTGTGGTTACCGGGAAAACTCGAACTCGGCATCGATGATCGGGTGCCTTGTCCTGAAACTTTGGAAGAAACACGGCGTGCTTGCCTGTCATACGTCCCATGTTACCAATGATCACGCGGGGCCCCGCGTGTCCCTGCGGGGCCTAAACCTCACCCCGGAGAAAATACCAGACAGAAAAACAAGAATGGTGTTTGTGTCTTACGCCGGAATTGTCGGAGCCACCACCGACTCAGCTTTGGGCGGAAGATGTTGAGGAGCCTTGCGGCTGAGAGTGGTGTGATAGCCAACGAGAAGGCCGGATTTGGTCTTGGAAGCCTGAGAGAACTTCGTGTGCGATAACATAGACGGGGCTGGGGTAAATATGGGGTATCTCAATTTAGTCGGGGACAAGGTCGCAGTCGAGAAGGGGCGGGTGATAATTACCCCTCCACTCAACCCCAAATTTGGCGGGATGCCAAGTGATTGACAATCGGTGCGGGGAAGCCGGTGCCGTGAACCCCTGATAAACTTCCGCCTCCGCGTGAGGCTTCTTTCCTTCGAGCGACTCTAAACCACGTTGAGAGAAGCACAGAGTACAAGAAATGCCCAAATAAGCGACTAGTCGTCGCCTCTGCGCATCCTTGCAGTTGCCACCCCCCTCATCTCAAGAAGTTGCACAGCTGAATCAACCCCCAAGGATGAGTTCCACCCCATCTGAGAAGGACATCCCTGTCCACACGGAGAATGTCACCCGTAACAGGGTGCATACGGAAGACGCACTCCACTACGAAGTCATCCAAGAAGATGTCCAGGTCGAGCAGCTAGTCAGTGAAGTGCAAGCTGTCGATGAGGCGAAGGCCCGTGAGCTCCAAGCCGAACTCGCAGCCAGCAGCCAGCAGGGCTACCATCCTATCACTCCTGAGGAAAGGAAGGCACACAATAGCCTCAACCTGAAGTTTGATCTTCTCGTGAGCCTGATACAGCCGAAATGAAAACTTGTCTGACCTTATGAAGGTCGTTCCATTCTGCGCGCTGATATACCTGTTCAATGGTCTCGATCGCAGCAACGTCGGTAATGCGGTGACAAACGGTTTCATCACGGATCTTAATCTCCCAGCAAACTCGGTCAACACGGCGACAACTCTCTTCTTCGCGACCTACGTCCCTTTCATGCCTGTACGTTATTGTTATTTACAACCACGACAAACGGTTGACGCCGTTTTCCTAGATATCCGCGTCCATTGGCAAGCGGGTCGGCCAATCTTACTGGCTCGGCGTGATGGGTGTGTGCTGGGGTATCCTCACTTTGGGACACACGTTTGTGAAGACTCAGGGACAACTGATTGCCATTCGTCTCCTCATTGGGGTCGCAGAATCTGGTTTCTTCGCGACAGCCACGTCATACATCGCGCTCTTCTATCCGCGTCACAATCTCGCGCTCCGTATCGCATTCTTCTACTTCGCGTTCGCCATTGCCGGGGGATTCGGTGGTCTTATCGCATACGGATGTTTCAGTATCAACGGCAAGCTGTGGGGATGGCAGTATCTGTTCATTATCGAGGGTGTCCTTTCCATCCTCATCGCGATTGTCACTCCCTTCTGGCTCCCTGTCAGTCCTGGCCGTGCATGGTTCTTGACGAAGGAGGAGCGTCACTACGCCGATAAGCGCATGGTCATTGACGCTGCAGCCAACACCGATTCTACATTCCGTCTTTCGCGGCGTGATGTTGTCGAGGCATTCAAAGATTGGAAGATGTGGATCATGCTCCCAAGCAACATCTTCGCCACCCTGGGCCCTGCTGGCTTCTCCATTTTCTTCCCTGTTGTCGTCAAGGTGCGATCATCAAATAAGGTTCCCAAAATCATTGTCACTGGGACTGACTAAATGTGCAGGGCCTTGGGTACTCCGGAGCTCTCGCGAACCTCATGACCGTCCCACCTTATGTTATCGGTGCAATCACCGTGCTGTGTATGGCTTACTCCTCCGACCGCTTTAAGGAGCGCACTTACCACACTCTTGCCGGTGTCACCGTCGTCATCATTGGGCTGGCCTTGGCCATTGGTATCCCCCTGGAGAATACAAAGGGACGCTACGGCGGCCTCATTATCCTGCTCATGGGAACTTTCGTTTCCACGCCAATCACCACAGCCTGGATCGCTGGTAACACGCCCGAACCTGGCAAGCGTACAGTTGTTCTTGCCATCAACGGGTGGGGCAACATCGGCGGTATCATCGGCTCTGAGATCTACATTCCCCAGTACGGACCCGATTACCGTTATCCTCTCACGATCTCCCTCGTCCTTCTCTGCTGCTGCTGGGTCGGTTACGTCGTGGTGAATTTGTACCTGCGCTATGTCAACCATACCCGTGCGAAGATCGTTGCCAATATGACGCCCGAGGAGCTCGAGCGCGAGAACAAGGATGCCACGCGCTATGCCGATAAGAAGTTGACCTTTGTTTACGGCCTGTGAGCGCGGAAATGCCCTCCTGAAGTAATCAAAACTGCTGGACAAATGGTGCATTTGTGGTATGATACAACGTCGTGGATTTCCACCTTCCCTTTTTTGCTCTAACAATAGGTTAAGAACGCACGCGATGTTTTTTGGTTTGTGTATTCACCATGATCTGGATGTATCGTCACTTCTCATTTTGAACGATCTTGTATGTACGTTACGCGACCAAAAATAAATCACGTTCACTGCATTTTGGAACTGACTGATGATGTAATATGGCGTATCAGAACCTTGTCTTCGGGTACATCACTGCAAGAACTGAAGGTATTGGGGGACAGCTTGCGAACACAATGAAGCTCCTTTGCACAGTTCAAAACTTTGTTTGCTTACAATCTGAGGCGCTTGTAGTGTCATCAATGTTGCTCATATTCGGCCTTGAAAAGTATTGGAGGGGGGAAGGGGGGGACCAGAATACAACAGCATTTTGATGTGCCAGTATGTAGGATGCATTGTCTTACACCAGTGAATATGGCAAAGTACGTTTGTGGATTCGCTTCAAACTACAAGTGTACAGAGACATGTCACGTGATATCTATTAGATTCCGGAGCTCCAACTCTGAAGGCCGTCCAAGACGCGGGGCGCGTTCGTGGCTGCTCTAGCCATTACCACCTCTTAGTGCCAACGGGACCCATTCGCCTGCACCATACTCTCAGGCCTTATACGCAATGAACTCCGAAGACGCGGATGTCAAGCCTACCAAGAAGCAGCTTTCAAGCGCTTCTAATGGGAAGGGCCAATCTAAAGGTAAGGGAGCATCACCTGTGAAAGGTGCAACCTCAGGTAAGAAGGCATTTCGTGGCAAGACGCGCGGCGAAGGCCGCGATGTGGACGAAAGCGTCGCCAAGAAAATCGAGGTGCACCAACGTGAACTCTTTCAGCAACTTCACGAGCGTGGTTTGGAGAAGTTTCAAGCTGTTGGCGACAAAGATGGAAAAGATGGAAAGCAATCATTCAAACGATACGCGAGTTACAAGGGAGAGCTTGCGCTGCCCAAAGAAGTGGAAGATCTCAGAGTAATCATGGTTTCTGGCTATTCTCTCGACATATGACTCATCGTCTGCAGATACATGTAGACCGCCGTAGCCGCACCGTACTTTTACCGGTGTACGGATATGCGGTTCCCTTTCACATCAATGCCATCAAGAACGCCAACAAGTCTAACGAGGGCGACTTTACATACCTCCGTATCAATTTCCAGACACCGGGTCAAATTGCTGGCAAGAAAGAGGATACGGTGCGCACATCCCAATATTGCTGGTTGAGTTCTTCACTGACTTTCGCCTTGATAGCCATTCGAGGATCCGGATAAGACCTTTATCCGCTCTGTGACGTACCGAAGTGCAGATGCCGCCCGTTTTGACAACTTATGCCGTCAAATCACGGATTTGAAGAAGGAGGTTGCGAAGCTCGAAGCGGAAAAGCGGGACAAAATGGACGTCGTCGATCAGGAGTTAATTGAAGTGAAAAGTACGCCGATGAAGTTGTTCTGCCTTTTTCACTATTGACGCGTCAATAGGCAAACGTGCACCGAAACTGCTAGAGGTATTTGCTCGCCCCCAGGCGGAAGGAAAGCGGATGCCAGGCGAGCTCGAGATACATCAGAATGGACTGCGGTTCCACACGCCGATCGGCCAGAAGATCCGTGAGCTGGTTTATTGAGAATCATTGCCCCTATTAATTGCCATTATGTAGAGATCCTGTTCAACAACATCAAGCACCTTTTCTTTCAGCCTTGTGATCACGAGCTTATTGTTCTCATCCACATCCACCTTAAGAGTCCTATCATGATTGGAAAGAAAAAGACGAAGGTAAGATTTTCCTCGTTAATCACCCAACTCGCTGCTGAGCACTCATAGGATGTTCAATTTTACCGTGAAGCCTCGGATGTCCAGTTCGACGAAACAGGAAATCGCAAGCGCAAGTATCGTTACGGGGACGAGGATGAGATTGAATTAGAACAAGAGGAGCGAAAGAGACGGCAGCAACTCAATAGAGAATTTCACCAATTTGCTGACAGGATTGCAGAAGCCGTGGGTTTCCTTCACCATATGGATTCTACAGGCGCCTGACAAAGCACAGAGCGACGAACCACTGGAGGTTGACATCCCATTCCGGGAGCTCAGCTTTGAAGGAGTGCCGGCCCGAACCAACGTTCGGCTGCAGCCAACTATGACCTGCCTGGTTCATTTATCCGATACGCCCTTCGTTGTTGTCACCTTGGACGAAGTCGAGTTGTGTCATCTTGAGCGTGTACAATTTGGTCTCAAGCATTTCGACATGGTCATTGTATTCCAAGATTTCACCAAGCCACCTTTGCACATCAATTCAATTCCTATGTCGGAGCTGGATCCGGTAAAGGAATGGCTAAAGTGCGCCCTGTCTTATTACTATGCTTGCCCTTGTTTACTGTCATAAAAGCTCTATGGATATTCCTATTTCGGAAGGCCCTGTAAACCTGCAGTGGGGTCCCATCATGAAGCACATCAACGAAGATCCATACGAATTTTTCAATGAAGGTGGATGGGCCTTCCTGCGGGGCGATGAGGAGGTAGGCAGACCGTTGTGAGCATAGGTTTTCTGCTGACGATGTACAGGATGAGGACTCTGAAGAGCCAGACTCTGCATCAGAGTTCCAGATGTCATCCGACGCGTACCACGAAAGCCCATCAAGCGACGACGACGAGAGTGAGTACGATGAAAATGCAAGTGCTGACGAGGGCAGTGAAGTTTCCGACGCAAGCACGGGCGATGACTGGGATGAAATGGAGAAGAAGGCGGAGAAATCAGACCGAAAGAAGTTTGGCAATGGGCGGGCGGAGTCTGATAATGATGATGATAGGAAAAAGAAGTCAAGTACGAAAGCACCCGTCAAGAGCCGTCGGTAGGTTCGACTGCTATATCAGGCTTCTCTCTGTTATGCGCACTCTTGCTGTTTCTGTGTAAGTCTTCCGTACTGTGAACCATGCAGCTTGTTTATCAAAGGATATTCGCCGTGCACAAGACCACCAGTATTATTCAACTGCTACTCCCTGGGGCAACCCGAGTATCACTCGATAAGGGGTCTCAAATGGACCTAGATTTGTAAACCTAAACAAGCACCTGCTGAGTTGCAGGAGGAGTCGGCGGAGGTATTTTTGACAAAGGATGATTTGCTTCCACACTTATTGCACTGGCGGCATCAACTTTTCAACTCGTGTCGTGGTCCCCACACACCCACTCGCGACGGGGACCAACATAGACTCAGTCTGCTCTGATTTTTCTCTTTTCTTTGACATTTGTCGAGGCTCGCCCTCTGTATCAATACTATCATGCCCAAAGAGCGCGCACCGCACGCGTCTCTGCGTGATCGAAAGCCGTACGACCGCCCAGTAGCCAAAATACCCCCAACCCAATTGTCGAAACGCCCCTACGCGCCTTCTCCAGTGCAACAAGGAGGGCTTACCCGCAGCACCAGCCTTCTTGGTAACATTGCGAGGCTTGTCAGTAATCCTTTGGGATGGTTAAGAGGCACGGATTCCGAAGCGAGAGTTGAGGCGCCTGGAGGAGATATGGAGCTAGAGGCTGAGGAGGGCGGCATGGTTCAGGAAACATCACCCCTTGCCATTCGACGTGAACCACAATCGAAGGCGCAGACAAAACGTCGTCCAAACGATGATATTGCTCTACCCGATGAATACCGCCGAAAGAGACTCCGCATGCATAGTCCTCCTCGAGCTGGCCCTTCCGTAAGGGGTTACGGGGATGTTCCTGACTTGGCTGCCTCACTGGCCAAGAAGAGACACCCTTCGGTGACATCTGCCAGCAGTCGGGATCTCATGCCTCCGCCGCTTCTACGCACCGTAGAGGAGCGCTATGATCCTCGCTACCAACGCAGTGTTTCCGGAACCGATCTCGTGGATATGGACAGAAGAGAGACGGAGGACAAGAGTCGACTACCTCGCTCCTCTTCGTACACCTCGCGGATGGATACGGCAAGGTCCTATATGCTATCCACCGATTCGGTAAGTGTCAAACGTGTGTGTATGCCCCGTCTGACAAGCGCGCAGCCTCAGAGATTTGGACTCACTCCTCGCAGTCCGTTCGCACGTGGAGGATCTCACCAACTTTTGGGAGCAAGCTCGCTTCGTAACGTGGTGAACAGTTGTGCACCGCTGAGCAGAGAGAGCAGCGTGATGAGCGACAGGATGAGCGTTGATACGAGTCGTCCCATCCGGAAGGGTGAAACACGTTCACGTATTCAAACATCGCGGGGTGTGTATCCAACGTCATTATACCCATGGCTCTCGTGCTCATCTTATTATAACAGCTGCAGCTGCCGCAAGCTCTGACGTTCCTCTCCATAGCGCCGAAGAGATTTTGCGTGCCCTGGAATCTTTCCGCACACCATTGTCTAATAACCGGGCTCCTGTCCTTCCTGCTTCTCGCATTCGCGTTCCAATCCCCGACACGCACAGACCGAGTGGTGCGAACCCATATGCTCGGCCTGCCAACCGAAAGGGCCCCGCCTCAAAAACCACCCCTATTGCGCCTGCAGAGGGCCCTGCACCAAAAGTTGCGAAAGGCAAAGAAAAAGCTAGTCCGGTCGAGGAAGTTGGGAATGACATTGCTATGGTCACTGACGAAGAGCCACCTAATCAAGGTATGGTTGCTTCAACATTCTAGGGTCAACACTGATGTCTGTTAGCCCCGAAACTTGCGCCCCGAGAACCATCATCAAGACCCGCGGTCCCCCCGAAAGTCGCAACTGCTCCCAATGCATCAGAACAACCTCCGGCGGTTGAGGAGCCGGCTTCCGTCCCAACAATCTTACCTATACCCTCCAAACCCATGATACCCATTCCGAAAGTCGACTTGTCGGCCGTATCTCCCCCTCCCTCCCTTCCTGCTGTTCCTATTGACGACTCTGGATTCAAAGTTGTTGATTCTTACGATACCAAGGGCAAATCGAGTCTTCGCGCGGCAAGGCAAAATTTTAATCGGCATCATGAGGCTGCGGCCAGAAGCGAGCGCAAGAAAGTTGAGCAACAATCTCAAGTGGCGTCTCAGCCAGTAAAGCGAGGCACCAACGTCTTCAGGATGCCCGAAGACGATGAAGACGATGATATGGCCGAGAACCCTGAAAAGCCAGAGTCCATCATACCTAAATCCTTTGACGCAAAAGAAGTCGCCGAATGGTTCAAGCCACCCACCCTGGCTGCAGACAGTGTAGACGTGTCGTTCAAGCCTGCAGAAACAAAGGACTTCTTCAAGGACGCACTTGCGCGTCTGGAAAACAAAGTACGCCTGTGAACTATTTCTCGTGACACACGCTTGATATTGACCGCCTCATAGGCCGCACATGTTCAACCTCTTCCCAGTCCGTTTGGCGCCGCAATCACTGCCGCACCGTCCTCAAGCCTTGCTCCAACCTCCCTCGTTTTCAGTGCTAATATCTCCGGGGCACGACCCAGCATACAGTTTGGCATGCCGAAACCGACTGAGATGCAGCCTTCTACCTCTGTTGGGGCTGGGCGTTCCCCTTTCAATGCCATCCTTAAAACAGGATCTGCGCCTCCTACGCCGCCTGCTGAGAACCCTAAGCCAATAGAGCCTGCTTTCAAACCAGCTGAGATCCCCAAGGTGATGGAGCCCCCCATGTTCTCCTTCACCACCGCGAAACCTGTGGGGTCTACACCCTTTAACCCTGCTGCTGCTTCATCGAATTCAAGCCTTGGTAATGGTCCCTCTCCTTTTAGACCATTTATTACCCCAAAGTCAGATGAAGCAATGCCTGTCACTTTAGTAGCCAGTACATCTTCTCCCGACAAACCAGTTGTGTCGTCTACCAGTAACTCGACCGCATTTCCTTCGGGCCAGCTGCTGAAGGGTGTCGAGCAAACACCGACCCCTACAGGGGCACCGGTGCCCAAACCTGCTTTCTCGGGATTCGGGACCTCCACACCTTCCTCCAGTCCATTTGGAAGCTCACCTTCTGGAACCAACCCTTTTGGAAGCGCGCCATCGGGAACCCTCTTTGGCACAAACCAGCCCCTTCTGGGTGCGGATACCAGCGCTTTCAAGATGTTCTCAAAACCGGTCGCAACCACGCCCGGGGGTGAAGCTGGACAAAACGAAAAACAAACGGCGCAGTCGACACCTGACTCTTCCGTATTCGGCACAACCTCGAACTCTATCCCTCTGACGTTCGGTCCGAAAGCAGACGTAGGGGTGAAGCCGCTTGCATTTGGCTCGGCATTTGGCTCAAGTACAACCCCACCATCGTGGAATGCATTCGGGAAACCAAAAGAGGAAGCCCTTAAGCCTTCGACCGGTACAGTGCCCGAAGTGACTTCTATCAAGAGTGAAACTAAGGATGCCCCTCAAGGTGCACCATTAGCTGCACCGTCTTTCGGTGCCTTTGGTACTGCCTTCGGAAGTGCCGCTGGAACTGCTGATGGTGTCTCGAAAGCTTCAGCTAACAGTCTTGGATTGACCACCTCCGATACGAATGGATCAAAATCCTCGTTCTCGTTACTTAGGCCCAGCGACGCAAAGCCGGCCACTCTTTTCGGCAAGACCGCACCAATTGTGCAAGCTCCTTTCACGCCTGGTGCGGCACCTACAGTTACCGAACAACCGAAAACGCCAGCCGCTCAGGGCTCGTCACCAGACAAAATGGAGACTAGTCCTGTTCGTGAGCAAAGGATGACCCCGCTTGGTGCGGCAACCACAACGCCGAGTGGCCTGCCACCGTCCAAGCCAATTTTCTCGGGCTTCGGACCTAGTACTCCTTCTGCAAATCTTTTCGGGAGCACAACAGCTGGAACCGCATTTAGTAGTGCTGCATTAGGCTCGGCCAATAAGGATGGGGGGCCGATTTCTAATCCTTTTGGTGGGCCGAGCTCCACACCAAGTTTCTCGTTCAACTTCGGTGGAGCCAGCAGCCTGTCTTCTAATCCCTTTGCTGGTGCGAATTCTGGTGCCTCCCCATTCGGTAATCCATTTTCAAAGCCATCATCCGAGGGACCTCCCACGAATGGTGCTGTGACTACCACTTCTGCTCCAGCATTTGGAACACCCGCCACAGTATCGACGCCGCCTCCCGTACAGCCGTCGGCATTTACGTTCGGACCACCGGCCGCAGGAGCCTTCTCATTCAGTCGGCCAACCGCGCAGCCTTCGCCATTTGGAGGCAGCTCAAGCGGTCTTCCAACAGGCACACCACCTCTTGCTTTCAACTCAACTGGGCCAACCGCAGATGGCGCGAGTACCACGGGTCTAGAATCACCTGCAGTCGGAGGAAGCTTCAATCTTGGTGCTGCTGACGCATCGCAAAGGAGGTTCAAGGGCCTTCCGTCACGCAGAAAGCGGATGTAGTGGTATCATGAGGTCTCTTTTGATTATGATTGTGGAGGATAGTTACATCGGCAGTTTTATGTCTTCGTGTTTACAATTATTGAGCATCCATTGCCCTCGCACAGCTGAATATCAGTCAATGCCACACATTCATGTCACCCATGACAGATAGTGTTGAGGAACAGTGTTTGGTGGTGTGGGATCTGGTGTTAACAAGGGTATATGTGTTAACTCATGATGGAAACTAGAAGGGTCAGGCAGCGTAAGCAATGAGAAGATTTAACAATAATACAATGCTGCCTAGGGCGTGCAGGGACTCCCTTGGTTATATTGAATGAATACGAGCAAAATGGTACTTGCCCAAACAGCGCATATGTAAGTATGTAATAATTACACCTGCAATCACAGAGAGTATTATCCGTCGAAGGTACCTGAGGCGAGGACTTCCTTGCCCTCTTTGATGTTCCTTTCCACCAATTCACTAAACCGCGTAGGCCACTGCTGCTGAAGTGCATGCCCCGTGTGATCCCAGACCACATATTCGGCTTCAGGCATCTGCTTGCTGAGGTACAAAGAGTTGCTTGGTGCAACGAGGTTATCTTCGTCCCCGGTGAGGACAGTTACTTTGGGTATCGACTTGGATATCTTGTGAAGGCGTTCCGGGGATACGTAATGCATCAGGGCAGCGGCCATTTGCGACATGGAACCCATTGTGGTCTGGGGGCGTGTCACTTCCCGTCGAGCGAGTAGCATCTAGGTCCACTCGTCAGTTACAATTCAGGAGGACTGCAGAAAACGATTCACCTGTCTCATCGCCTCTCTATTGGTCTGATCCTCTGCGTCACCGTCGATCTTCGCATCCAGCCATTCCACAGGGAAGATCATTTCCATCGCCAAGCGGACAATGTTCTTCGGATCCTTATCTAATAGCATTCTCGTGAGCGTTGATGTACCTTTCCACTGAGAACGAACATTATCAGGCATGATCTCGGAAAGGGCATGACCCAGGTCATACCGGTGATACGTTATTCCAAGGTAGCCTGCTACCAGCGGTGGTGACTGCAAGCAGCAGGGAGATCACGCGTTCCGGGATGCGGTCGAGCAACTCTTAGGTTCAATGATTAAAGAGACGCATTTACATAGCCTCGGGAACTCACCTAGTGCAATCATGCCCCCAAGTGAAAGCCCAACGATGTTCAAAGAGCGCTTGCCGTTCCATCCCACGTAGTCCAGTAATTTCAGCACATCATCAGCCATGCCCCGTGTGCTAAACACATGAGAAAATCAGGGTATATTGTCTATTATTGAAGTGACACTGACGTGTACGGTCCTCTAGGTGCTTCACTGTGGCCAACACCGCGGTTATCAAAGACCAGAACCGAATATCTCGGGTTTTTAGCGAAGTAGTCGACTTGAGGTGCCCAGGAGAAAGACGTCGAGTTCAATCCCATGATGAGAACTATCTTCTCAGGCCCGGAGCCATGCTGCTCTGAAAGGATTCCATCAGCATGGCTTCACATCCTGAATGAGCGACATGCCAAAGTACAGTGCATGACTCTCCGTGATCCCATCTTGGAGGGTAACGGGACACAGACCGCGACGAACACGCGTCGTCGGGTCGAAGAATGACGACCAGTCTTCCGAAGATTCTCGCTTGGCCATGGTGGTTGGGAAGGAAAGAGCGGTGTGGAAACAACTTATCGCCCCGATCGTGGCTACGAAATGCTGTACATTCCAGTGAGGAATGAATGTTCAAGTCAGGGTCACTTTACTTTGGGCTGGGAGGAATTGCCGCGCTGAGCCGCGCGCGGCCGCGTCAGGGTCCCAATTGGGCGGAAGTCGAGTGTTGACATCAATAAGCCGCTGATTATTTGAGTGGAAAGTAATAATATAGTCCAATATTCCAATGCAGACAGGGACTCCAGATGTGTGGGCAAATTGTTGATGATTACATTGAAAAGTAACAAGATATTTTGATGTCATTACCAAAGGGGCAAGGACCCCGCTCCGAGGAGTGCCGCGCTGTTCACAAGTTGACTGCAGAGATCCCATTCTAAGTGGGTGAAACGCCGCGCAACTCGATCACGTGAGCGGCGCAGGGGGGCGCGGCTCACGTGATTCAACAGTGTTCTCAGGATTGCTCGATTTGGTGAAGTTTTCAATATTTTAATGAAACAACCACAACAAAAAAACAAACAGGGGATGCCAATGTTATTGTTCTGTCTACCAAACTACTTTTCAAGCAATATTGAACGGTGAGTGAGAATGTGTGTTGACCGGCCGGGTAGAGTAGCCCGTCCTGCGCGGCAGCCAACGCGGCAGACGCGGCAAAATATCCCTACCCCTGTACATTCCAGTTAGGGATGAATGTTCAAGTCAGGGTTTGCCCATCACGGCGCCAATTCCCATCTCACCTTGCTGTTGGCTCCGACGTCATGGCGCCAAACAAACGCAAGAAGCCCGTGACGGCCCTCGCGCATAAACCGTCTGCGACCGCATCGGCGAATATCACGCGCCAAACCATCAGACGGTATCATGTCCTGCTCAAGGAGAAGGCGCGGTTGTTGAAGGGGGGTTCATCCTCGGTATCTACGCGGTTAGATGACATCGAGCGGGAGATGAAGGAGTTGGGCGGGTTAGAGGGGTATCAAGAAATGTCTGTGATTGGGCAGAGCAAAGAGAGAGGTGGTGGGAGTGAGAAGGCCTTAGTGGAGTGGTTGAAGGAGTTGGGCCATGGGATGACTCAGTCAAACGGGAGCATGCAGCATGAGACGGTCGAGTATGTTCCACTGGAGAGACATAAACAATCGTTGACAGTGTTGTAGTCTACTTGAAGTTGGCGCTCTACATCCAGGCAACTACGCCCGCTGGTCCAAATGGATCCACAGCATGCCTATCGATTTACATTCTCGACATCCAGACATCAAAGAACAGGACTTCCTCAAGCTCGACCCTGTCGAGAACGACGGGAAATGGGACGTGATCAGTTTGAGCTTAGTGCTCAACTTTGCAAGCATGCCCTTCGACCGAGGTGAGAGATGGTCGGCGCACTAGTTCAGCACGGCGTCTGACGTTGGTTCCAGGCAAGATGCTCTCCCTTGCACATGGTTGTCTAAAGGGCACCGGGTCATCGTACCTGTTTCTGGTCCTTCCCCTGCCCTGCGTAATGAACTCAAGGTTCCTCACGCCGGAGCATCTTAACTCGCTCATGAACGCCATTGGGTTCGATCTCGTGAAAGAGAAGTGGAGACCAGGCGGGAAGGTGGCTTATTGGCTATGGAGGAAGAAGGGCCGGCCTGACAGGAAGGGAGGGGCGTTCACCAAGAAGCGAGTGTTGCACGAAGGCTCGTCAAGGAATAACTTCACCATCTTATGGGACGGTAGTTGACATATCATCATATGGTCATTAAACCCTTGTACAACAGCAGTCTATGCCGTCCCCAGAAGAAATCAATTTAATGCTTCTCCGAGGCCGGTTGCTCGTCGGGATAAAGCTGCTCAGAACGTCAGCACTCGCTTCCAAGTCTCACAGCGGGTACGACCGTACCTTGCCGGGGTTGAACAAGTTATAAGGATCCAGGGTGTTCTTGATTGTCTTCATGAGTTCGACAGTCCCCGGCCCGAGCTCCTCGTACAAGTATTCCCTCTTGCCAATCCCAACACCGTGTTCGCCTGTACCTGCGCTTTGTCAGCGACGAAGCGGGAACGAGTATATGTCTCCGACGCACAGGTGCCGTCAAGAGCCAAAGCACGCTCCACCATCCTGTGCACGGCCTCCTTGCATTTGTCCAGTTCTTCCTCATTCTTGAACAGCAAGCTCGTGTGGAAGTTGCCGTCTCCAACATGTCCCACAACCATACCGACAATTCCGTGCTGGGCCAGGTCCTCCTTCGTCTCTTGCACCAACTGCGGGAGGCGGGACATCGGGACGCACACGTCCGTGCTCCATGCCCTGCTTCCAGGGACCATAGCCAAATTACTCCACAGTGCCGTCTTCCGCGCATGCCAGAGGTCGTCCGCCTCGTGCTCGTTCTTGGCGCTGATGAACCCGGTACTGCCGTGCGCCTTGCAGATTTTCTGCGTAATGCTCGAGGCCTCCTTGATCGATGCGGGTGTGCCCTGGAATTTGAAAAAGATGCTGTCCACTTCCGGGTAGCTGCGCCCTGCGAATCCGCCACGGTTAATCGCCTCCATTTGCTTGTCATCGCAGAGCTCGACACATTCTGTTTCTCAGAAGTTACTTGCTGTGACACTGTTCAGCGGAGAAACGCACGGATGGGAACGCCTTTGTTAAGAATCTCCGTAACGGCCTCAGTGGCTAATTCGACATTAGGGAACTGAGCCACCGAAACGGAGGTGGGAAGCCGAGGTGCCAGCCGAATAGTCGCTGTTGTTGCGTCAGACGGATAGATAAAAAATTCGCGAGGTACACTCTCGCCTTCTGTTACAATCCCAAGAGTTCCTTCTGCGCCGATGAACAATTTGGTCGTGTCGAACCCAGCAGAGGATTTCCTAGCCCAGAATGTCAAGCCGGTGACCGGATCGCCTCGAGCGGAAAGGCTCACCGAGCTCTCCGCCGAGTCTTGATCACTTCGCCCGACGGAAGAACAACCGTCTGGTCATGTGTGTAAGAAGGTACCTTTTCGATGAGGTGGAATACATACCGCGTTCAGGAACCATTCTGCCTTCGCAGTCCCATAACGAACTGCATTTGTCCCCTTCATAAGAGCGTGAGGAAAATATATGTAATTCGGCTGAGGGAGGTGCACACCGAGCAACCAGTTGCAATCATCCCACCGATGGTGGCACCCGGACCTGCCAGCGTGTGAGTCCCGACTCACTGTGGATCATCATGTCGCACCTGGATCCAGCTTGAACCGATCAGGAGCTTATCCGCATCCAGAGACACCACACTTACCGGGAAGAACAGCGGGATGCCCTTGTCCTTGAGCAGGTCATTGAGGTCGTCCCATCGACATCCGGCCTGCACAACCATGTCACCGTCCTTCTCGTGGATCTCGAGCACCTTGTCCATGGCTGAGAGGTCGAGGCTGATCCCGGCGTAGTTTATCTGTCAGACTATAAGGCTAACACTGAGACACAGATTCTGAGATGGCCATACCGAGCCGTAGTTGCCCTCCAGGCTCGTCCCCCCAGAATAGGGTGAGATGGGGATCCTGTACTTCCGGGAAAGGTTGACAACCTTGACGACATCCTCGGTGTTATGCGCATACACGACCACACTGGGATCCGCGGCAGGATGATGGGCGTTCGTCGAGTACCCATGCTCGTGTATGACATTCGGGTTCGTGCTCACCTGTTCACTGGGAAAGGCCGCCCGGAGCTCCTCCAAGCATTTCTGGAGGTCATCCGAGGTGCCATAGGCTGAAGGCACAGATGCAGGAGAGGAACCAGCGGCAACGGCCTTGGCAGGTGGCGGGTTGAGCTGGAGGGAAACCCAGTAGCCCAGCACACCGGTCATAGTCGCCAGTGCCCATGCTCCCGTCGGGGTGAACCCAACAGGGCTTTGCTTGGGTGGGGGGCTGGTGACCTTGCCTCGAACGGCGTTGTTGACCATTCGCCGAGTAATGGCTGGCCGCCGGTTGAGATGCAGCAGCATCCGCTGTGAAACGATACGATTTGACATGATGGTGAAGTGAGAAATGCCGACGATGACAGCGTAATGATGAGTGTCACTGATCAAGGCCCATCAGTAGTGTTGTGGAGGTTAATAAACGGGATATTATTCAAACCAGAGAAGCAACAGGGCAGCACGGGATATTCACTCAACAGCACGCCTTGCTTTTCACAAGAGTCCCTGACTTTTTATTTCAACGACCAGGACAATGAACGCAGCAAGGCAACGAATAAGGCCAGTAAGGCTACAAACTTGTGAGTCGTAAATGAGTTATGTACATAGGTTTGACCTAATAATATCGTAGACAATCGTGTCATTCAATCGACACGGCGATTCGAGTCCACCACCACCGCTGCTTCCACACCCCAGTCTGCTCCTCTCCCTCCAGCACCAGTCATCGTCACCCCCTCCGGCTCCTCTCAGCCCTATCGTCTCCTCACCAGTGTGATCCTTACCCGCTCCCCGCTTCTCACCTCCGAAAGCACATCATTCGAGTCTGCTTACTATGCCTACAACCGTCGTATCGCCCGCGCACTCGCCAATCCATTTTCAGGAGAGTTATACTTCAAGAAAGGTGCTGTCGCCGAGCGGAGGTTCGCTATCGAAGATAGGGATAGAGAAATTGCCGCTTTTGGTGATAAGGCAAGGGTGAGTAAGCGTGGTGCAGAGGAGAAGGTGGAGGAAACAGAGGGCGAGGACAAGGTGAAGCTCTTGGACAGGGTAAGTGAGGCGGATATGAAGGGAGACATGAGAAGCTTGGATAGAAGAGGGAAGACAAGTTTGTTCTTACTTCTGAAGACACAGGGGAAAGGTTGGAGGTTCCCACAGGCAGAGGTTCTCGCGCGGGAAGCGCTGCACGAAGTGTGTTTCTGCGTATTTGTTCCTCCATGCAGAATACTGATATTCGCATCATAGGTAGCAGCCCGTGATCTGATAAGAGAATGTGGACCTAACATGCACACATGGATAGTTGGGCGACACCCCGTTGGTGTTTTCACTCGTGAACCTCAGACGGCGGCCGGGCAGGGGGACAAGGCAGGTTTCATGAGCCCTTTCTCTCTTTGAGGATCGCCAATATTGTCACAGATTTTCTTCTTCAAAGCCCACATCATGGCCGGTCAAGCCATCAGTTCCACGAAAGACGTGGAGGACTTCGCGTGGCTGACGCAAGAGGAGGTGCAAGAGCGTCTATCGCAGTCAGAAAAAGGATACTGGGATGCAGTGCGCTGTGTCCTCTCTCCCTGATATTGCATTAGAAAGATGCCACACCATTTAATGGATTTTATTGGTGATGGTGTCCTGCGATGCGATCCTCATAAAGAATTGTTGGTTTGGGAGATACAGAGAGCGTCCGGATACATCGCGCTGTTGATTATAGCAGATACCAAGGAGGGGCCATTCAGGCAAAGAGAAGGCGAATGAGACCGCGTTTGGAATGTTTGAAGCAGAGAACAAAAAGAGTGAAGGTAAGAGTACGGACTGTCCTTTCTTCGATTATACGAACCCACTCCCCCCGCGCTTCTCGTCGATCTTCCGAAACCGCTCTGCCTCGAGGCGCTTGTTGATCACGCATGCGGTGGCGAGGAAGAAGAGGATCACGATGAACATGAAGCCGTAGACGGTGGAGAAGACGTCGTTGAGCATTACGTCTGCTGCACCAGTGAGTGGAACGAAGCATCCAGTGCTATTCATCGCTTGCTGCATGTTGGCGCAGAAACCTTGGTAGACCGCGTGGTCGGTGCCGTTGAAGTAGCCACAGCAGGAGAACTGCACGATGTCAGGAAAGGAAGATCCCGAGCGGGAGACATACCATGTTCTGCAGCTGGACAATACTGTCCTGTGGCTGTATCACCCACAGTTCGTCGAAGTCGGTTTTTTCGGTGAGGGTATAGTACCAGATGAAAGTACCGATGGAGACGACCTCGAGGCCAACTCCAACGAGCATCCAGTTAAGGACATGCAGGAGGGTGGTGGATGCATTGGGCTGCATGATAGCGAGCACCGCGAAGAGTGAGGTCACAAGGAACGTGACCCCCATGGCAATACCAGCTGAACAGAGTCAGTATGGCGTGGTCTGAGAGGGATGACAGACGCACCATTTGTGTCGGAGACAGAAATGAAGAGGTTGATCAGGAGGTTGGGTTGTTTCCAAACGATGCCCAGGACAAGGGAGACTATGCCCGCTGCTGCGAGGCAAAAGAGAAGGAAGGACCAGGCAACAATAAGTTTGCGGGAGATCATGCTTGCTTCGAAGGTTTCCGGTGGATGTCAAGGTTATGTATTTCGCGATGTTGGTGTGATAGACGACCGGCGTTGTTGGTGTGCAGCGCAGCGCAAGTTCGCGTCAAGCGAAGATGAAGTACAGTAAAAGCCCGAGCTGAGGAACGAAAAGTGCGCTTTGGACTGATGAAGGGGCGGTCAACGCCTGCGCTTGTGCTGAAGGAAGGGAAGGGATATGGGGACAGAAAAAAGGTGGGGGATGAAGGGGAAGGGCAAACACCTGGGGAATCCGCGGGACCCGCCAGTGAGGGTATAAAGGGCGCTGCTGTCCGTTATCTGGCAATAATTAGCAGCGGAAGGAACAGGCAACCGAACCCGACGCCAAGGAGATGGTTGAGTGGAGAAGGGCGACGAGGGCGGATCGCGTGGTGAAGGAGAGGGTGGGTTGTTACCCGCCGTCGTTAGCCATGTCGACGACGCGCAGCAGCAGAGCCGGCAAGAATATTCATCATAATATAAACCATACCAATGTGGCCAATGAGTATGATGGTATTTATTCAGTATCGTCTAGAGGTGTAAGGAAATATACTGAAGGGGATGAACAGATTATATAGTATGAATTGACGGTCGTCAACAGGCAACGCCCTTCACGTGTCTCCTAAGCGCTTCCCGAATACTGGCTGGCTAGACCCTGGCTGGTATGCTGAAGTTTGTGTATGCCACCCACAAATGCCTAGCAGCACTATACTTCACCTTGCTGCTTTTGCAACAGGATGCATCGCTGGTGCAGGGGCTGTATGGACTGTTACTCGCACCAAGCATACCCGCGTAGACGTTGCCAGACCCAGCGATACATACCCTCAACCAAAGATTGCTATTCTTCCAAAACCTTCAACTGATGTGGTCATTAACCCTCCGACCGATGTGCTCAAGTATGGACATCCAGGTATGATCACCCATGTTTCAACAAAAAATCACCCTCATTTCTCTGTAGGCCCCATCTCAGACATCCTCCAGCGTACGGCTTATGCTGCAAGGTACGACCGCAAACTGCGTCATCCCGCCTGGACAGCCGAGCATCTCACCCTGGCATCCCTGGGCAAGGGCCCCACCAGGCTCGGTGACGACTCCGGGCGAGGGGATCGTGGAAACTCCCAATTCAAAGAAGACGAGAGCCTGCCGGAGATGTTCCGGGCTAAGCTCTCGGACTATTTTAGGAGCGGATACGACAGGGGTCATATGGTGCCTGCTGCAGATGCGAAGATCTCCCAGGTGAGAGGATGGGTCACTTTGAATTGATGAATTTACTAAGAGAGCATGAGGCAGCAATGGACGAGACATTTTTACTATCAAATATCGCACCGCAAGTAGGCGCAGGCTTCAATCGACATTGTGAGTCCCCCAGCTCGGAGGTGGCCCCAATGACTGACAGGGACAGACTGGGCATACCTCGAGGACTGGTGTCGTCGGCTCACATCCTCCTTCTCCGATGTCTTTGTGTTCACCGTTCCCCTCTACCTACCGCATCAAGACCCGGATGGCAAGTGGCGTGTGGTACGTCTTCCCCTACTCCCCTTTCCCACATCCTCTAATTAACCCCTAAACAGTCATACGAAGTCATCGGCACCCCAGCGAACGTCGCCGTCCCCACACACTTTGCAAAAGTTGTGCTTGCCTCTCGCCCCCTCTCCCCTGTCACACCAAACATCTTAGAACTCTCTCTCGGTGCATTCGTACTTCCCAACGCCCCTATCCCCGACAACGTTCCCCTAGAGAGCTTCTCCGTGCCCGTGGAGACCGTCGAGCGAGCTGCAGGGCTCACTCTCTTCTCGACCGAGGTGAAAAAGGAGAGCAAGCATATTTGCAGAACAGCAAAATGTGAGGTTATCGTAAGGAGGTTTGATGATGCCCAGAAAACGGTGCAGGGAGGAGGGGGCAAGCCATTGAGGATTGGACCCCCTCAGGGAAAGTAGACGAGTGTACATATCGTGATATTGCATCTCCTGGTCAGATCATCATATCAGACTCAAACCTTATTGTTCGTGGCAACACAAGATTATAAAAGCGTGTTAAACAGGCGAGCTGCGAGGGGTAGATATTTCCTTCAGTTGTTCTGGACCAGATGGTGTATGTAGCACCAATGGGTTGGCAGGCGCTTTATGCACGCGACGCGTTCTTCGAAGCGCGTCGTGACCCTGACTGACCTCATCCCTCCTCCCCTCTCCACCACGATGCCTCGAGAAATAATAACAGTCCAAATAGGCCAATGTGGCAACCAAAGTGTGTCCCTCTCCCACTTTCACCTATCTGGGTGTCCTAACGGGCAGGTGCGCAGTGGGGTCCGTGTTCTGGCAGCGTCTTTGTGCAGAACATGGGATCAGCAAGGACGGCACCTTAGAAGAGTGGGCAACCGAGGGCGGGGACAGGAAGGATGTGTTCTTTTATCAGGCAGATGACGAGCACTATATTCCTCGAGCCATTCTGATGGATTTGGAGCCCCGTGTACCCGTGCTCCTTGCTAGGTGGTCGAAACAGAACTGACCTGTGTGCAGGTTATCAACAACATCCTTACCGGGCCTTATGCGAGCCTGTATAATCCAGAGAATGTTTATACGAGCAAAGACGGAGGTGGGGCCGGGAATAACTGGGCTCAGGGACACCAGGCCGGGGAAAAGATTTACGAGGACATATTCGAAATGATGGATCGGGAAGCCGAGGGGAGTGATTCACTCGAGGTGCGTGCGCCTGCTGCTTGCCAGATCCCACATACTTGGAGCTGAGACGAGGCCTCATCCTAGGCATTTATGGTGATGCACTCGATTGCGGGTGGGACGGGGTCTGGATTGGGCTCGTTCGTCCTCGAACGGCTGAATGACAAGTACCCCAAAAAGCTCGTGCAGACTTACTCCGTCTTTCCGAACAACGAGGAGCTCTCGGACGTTGTCGTGCAGCCTTACAATAGCATCTTGACGCTCAAGAGACTTGTGAATCATGCCGACTCAGTTGTGGTCCTCGATAATGCTGCGCTGACAAGAATTGCCGGGGATAGGCTCAACGTCCAGTTCCCAAGCTATGACCAAACAAACCAAATTGTCCGATTCATGGTATTCTGGGCTGATACATTCAACTAATCCATGACGTAGGTGTCCACAGTCATGTCGGCTAGCACAACAACGTTACGGTATCCGGGATATATGAACAATGACCTTGTCGGTATTATCGCGTCACTCATCCCAACACCTCGCTGCCACTTCCTCATGTCGAGTTACACACCATTCACGAGCGAGAACGTTGACAAGGTAGGACTTCGGGAACGGCCACCACCCTGTTGCTCATCTCATATTCAGGCAAAATCGATCCGTAAAACAACAGTGTTGGACGTGATGAGGCGATTACTGCAGCCGAAGAACCGCCTTGTCTCAACCGTGTCTAACAAAGACTCGTGCTACATTTCCATCCTCAATATCATACAAGGTGACGTTGACCCAACAGACGTACATCACTCGCTTCTCCGCATCCGTGAGCGACAACTGGCCAACTTTATCCCTTGGGGCCCGGCATCCATTCAGGTCGCACTGGCCAGGAAATCACCCTACGTGTCCTCGAGCCACCGCGTCAGTGGGCTCATGCTGGCAAATCACACAAGCATCGCCTCGGTGAGAGTCGCACAGAAAGCCGTCAGTGCAATAATCACTCATGGACATTTTCAGCTGTTCCGCCGCACCCTTGATCAGTACGACCGGCTTCGGAAGCGCAATGCCTTCTTGGAACAATACAAGAAATTCAAAACTTTTGAAAACGGGCTGGAGGAATTCGACGATTCACGGTACACGAATGAAATATCTGACGTTCAGAGAGACTGACTACGTGCACAGTGCCGTCGTCGATGAACTGGTGCAAGAATACAAGGCATGCGAAAGCGCTGACTATATTTCTTACGTATGTTACATCAACAGTCGTTTCACATTTACTGACCATCATTCAGGGTGCACCGGGCGATGCGGCAGGTCCATAGTCAACTCCATATTTAGGGCAACCACTGTAACACTTCCTCCATCGGTTATCATGAGGTCTACCGGGTATGATAATGATCAATGTTGATTTACGAGACAACGGGCATGAAGTGAGAGCGAAGGAGTCATAATGTCAAATTACAAATCATGGAAAGGGGCATCATCACCTGGGCAAAAATGGTCGCCTATTTCTTCGCCCCAGGCGTGTCGAGCTTCTTGCCGACGTCCGCACCTGCGTGAGACACAAGTACGTATGTGATGATCAATGTGGAGTATGGTGATACGGACCTCTCAGTTTCACCTTAAGGATGCGCTCCATCTTGCCCAGAACCTGCGGGTTCGGAATAGCCCGACCAGACTCGTAGTCGGCGATGACAGATGGTTTCTCGTTAATCTTCTGCGCGAGATCCTTCTGCGACAGCGGTGGGGTGAGTGAAGCACGCGCGTCCATGATTGCCTGCACGCATACAGTCAAGTTGTGATTAATTCTTAATTGTCTGGTCATCAACATACACGTCCAACAGACGGAGCCACCTTGGTCGGTGGTGCAACCTCGTTCTCACGGTCGAGCTTGGCTATCCGCTGGTGGTCGGTGCCTGCATGCGCCTTGTTCGAACCCGCAGTGATCTTCTTGTCGCTGGAAACGACGGCTCCAGAGCGGCGAGCAGCTTCATATACATAGTCACTGAGTGTCGGATGGTGGATAGTGCGTGGGACTTACAGTTGAGCTCCGATTCTGATCGTGTGACTTTGGGAACTTTGGCCTTCGACCCGATGACAAGTTTAGCGTCCCAGTCAGACATGGAAGCTTATTGCGATAGTGGTGGGGTAAAATATACGTTATGTGAGAAACTTGCTCAGAGGATGAAGGTAAGAAAGAGGACGCTGACAGCGACTGGCCCACTCGACGGTTCTAGCACCGCGGAAGCAAAACATTCGGGTTACACGGGGCAAGACGAGCAGTACTCAGGGCATTATTTAAGCTACATTAAATCCAAGCTACATAAGGAACGCCTAATATAGTCAATACACTTCATTCATCCTCATTCGTCTTCGTAGGCGCTGAGGATGTCGTTATAATTGCCACCTACGACCTGTTCCTCTGTATTGTCCTCTTCATCGGCCTTCATACCTTCTTCTTCACTGACCATATCGTCTGTATGTTTCTTCTTCGCCTCACGCTTGACTGCAGGTGATGGAGAGCGTCTAAGACTTACAGACGGTCTGGGGGTCTTCGGCTCCGGTGTCCGCTCGCCATCGTCCAAAGACATTCTAGCGTACGGAAGGAGGCTGTCTCCGTTCTCTGTCAGAGGACCCTGCTCCTCCCCATCTGTAGTGCTTGATAGTGGCGAAAACATATCTGCTGCTACTGCTTTCGTATCGCGTAGCCGCAGTCCCGGAGGTTTCTGATCAGCGATGCGGCGGTTCCTTCGCAACCCAGGTGAGGGTATCGGTACCTGCGGTGAGAATCCTTGGTAGGCAGAACCTAGCGATGAGTTACTCGACGATCTCGTGACCCCAGGAGAGGCCTTCGTATCGGATAGGGTCCAGCGGTTAACAGCTTCATTGATTTCAGACGCAACCGAGTTTAGTGGCGCTGGAGTCGGCAGGGAAGGACTAGATATATATGAGTCTGGGGACAAAACAATGTCCATGCCGACTGGGACAGAATTGGCTGGTGCGACCAGCCGAGCGGGAGAAGAAAATTCACGCTTTTGTCGAAGAGCCATGCCTGCAGGAGAACGTGGTGACACCCCACCTCTCAACTTGACAACGGGGTTGTCCGAGTCCGACGCATTTGACAAAGACGTTGTTCGCCGCGACGTTGACGAAAAAGTTGACGAGATGGAATCGTGCGATCGATCTTCGCTTAGCCTCGGCCTGGAATACCGCTGGATGCTGGGAGGCCGAGCACTGCCGCTGAGCATTAAGGATCTAGGAGGTGGCTTTTTGAGTGATAAAGGAGATGGTGCTGGAGTGGAGTTGATGATCGAATTCAACGCAGCTTGCAAGGAGGGCAAAGAGCGACTGGTTGATGGGGGAGAACCGATAGAAGGATTAGGTGACTCAGCTCTTGACGTCGTCGTAGACACATCCGACTGGATCTGAGGGCTCTGAGAAGGTGGCTCAGGCGTAGGTTGTTCGGCCGAAAGAGGTGATGGGAGCGGGATTCCGTCCGGGAGAGAACTGATGGAGGCACGGAGAGGGTTCCATAACTTCATGGCAACGGAACCCCACGATGAAGGTCGTGATAGTGGGCTAGGGGAAGCTGCCCGCTGTGACACCGCCGTCAGGGACGGTGGACTTGGTCTCCAAGCTTGTAGTGCTGATGCCTTCCAGTTAGTCGAAGCCTTCGAGAGGCTTGCAGCAGTATCGCTCTGCTTCAAGGTTTCCGCGAAGCCTCGGAAGCTATCGATGATACCACCACCATTGGCAGACTGGCCCTCTTGCTGACGTAGGAGACGACTAGCAACCGCTTCTGTTGTCCAGCCAGAAGCAGCCCTGCGTTCTTCCCATTCCCGCTGCATCCTTATTTCGGACGCAGCGCGCAGAATCCTGTCTGAGCCAACTTCATCGATGGGATATTGATCCAGTATCGATTCGCCTTGACGCTTTGCAGCTTCTTCGTCCTCCATTCCTTCTTCACCAACCCAAAGATGGTTCGGTTTCACATCACCCTTAGCACGACCAGCGGCGAATAGTTGGGGCCGTAAGAGAATCATAAGTGCAAGAAATACATCGATCAACGCTGCAACAAAAGCGGTTGGCGGCAGCCCAAACAGAGAGTCGTATGTGATCAGAAGGACCGGCGGTGGAAGTGAAGCTGCGAGGACAGATGACAGCCATTTCCTAGGAAATGTCAGTGAAGGCATCAAATCAGGCAAAATTGCATAGTCACGAACACAGAGTATTCGGAGGTTGACGGTGCCAAAGACTTTCGGAGCAACTCGCGAGCGAAAGGTTCGTCGATTCGTGCTAAGCGCAATTCAATTGTCCTCAAGATTTCATCACATGCATCGTTCACTTCCCATACATCGCCCATGCGATCTCGAATGGCCTCAAGAAACCAGAATGCTTCAGCCTCGACCTCCTCATCCCACGCATTGTCATGTTCCACTTCTTCAGCCTCTTCGTCTGAGTCGGAACTAACCGCTGAGTTGTAGGCCGAGTGGCAGAGCTCGTACAGGGCAGAAACTAAGGGAATCAGAAACGTGACTGGCGGGTGGGAAGCGTGTAGGATGGAATGTGCGTGCAAGATGCGTAACAAGGCTAGTGAACGGCGTTCCGACTTGGAAAGTTGAGGTTTTTTTGACCCTGGTGATCGCAGTGACCTAGGAGTTCGGGGAATGCTTCCATTTCCTAAAGAGTGACGTGACGATGCCGAAATGGGGGGAGAGGTATTTGTGTCGTCCGCCGCAGAAATTGTCAGCATCGGAGGAGATGGAGTGCCTCGAAGAGCAACAGTAGAACCTCTAGTCGCATTCATAGTCATAACAAGGGCAAGCCGATTCAGAAGCAACGTCGTGCTCGGTCCCCGACAAACATCGACCCCAACTTGTGCAATCGGTGTGGGCGGCAATAGTTCATCTGTGTTCAAATCCGGTGTAGTAATGGAAATAACCGGTGAGACGTGTTGAGTCCGTTGTGGTGAGACAGGTTCTGGAAGCAGTGGTAGACTGGGCAGCGAAAAGGCAAGATCAATCAGAGAGCGATCTGCTGGGGATAGAGGCCGTGTTGGCTGACGCGGAAATTAAAATCAACCTTGCCATGACAAGGATTCTACTCACGGGAGGCTTTTTGTCAAGTCCCTCAGCGATACCGTCGACTAGGGCCTGAGACATCATCAGCCTGCGAATCATGGAAACCCGAAATCTTACATACCCAATATTTGGTTTTTGCCTTCTCGTCTTCTTCATTCCATGTCGTCTTATCGTTAGGTATCAAATCCAGTAGAAGTCTGGGCGCCAACATTTAGATCAGAGAGAAAGCCTCGCATAAGCGCTGGGACGTACTTCCATGCCCTTGTCCGTATCCAAGAAGGCTCATCGGGTATCCCTTCAACGGAAAATCAGAATTGTGTAAGGACACTTGTGAGGACCAAAATAACCCTGCACGCAGAGGCTCCGAAACTCGTCGCGGTCCACGATCAAATGCGCCGCTGATGATGGGTCGAGCAAACTCTCGATCTGGTGTAGTCTGGGGGTTACACTAAGCGTCATGAAGCAATATATGTGATAAGCAGCTCACCGTTCATAGTCCTCCATAATACAGCCTCAGTCACCTACGGAGCGAGTCTTCGTTTTGACTTCGAGTCGACCAGAAATGGATATACATAGAATATTCCCCCTATAGCAAGGGACCAGAGTAAATGCCCCTCCGGAGGCAAATGCCCTCTTCACATTGTGGCAGTGAGAAAGAATAGTTCAGGGGTCGCACAATTAATGGATGTTATAGGATGGGAAAAAGGGCATAATCAAAGAACAAAGTATATCTCAGTCAATTTGGTACATTGTTGTTATTATAAACCTCAAATACTGCCTCTATTTAGGAGTATATATTCTAATTTCTTGATAACACCATCTGCAATATTATTGAAAGACCCCTAAACTCTTTATGAGTTTCCTGTCACTGCCACAAAGATGATGCGCGAAGACACAACTTGAAGAAGAGGGCGTCTCCGCAGAGGGGGCACCGGAGGAAATTACTCCAAGGGACCAAGAGTACACCGCCCCTCTCAACCGGAGCCAAACATAGACGCCACATAGGTAGGTATACTGTCAGTACTTCCTTTTCTCTGCTGCACGCCTCCATGGCGAGAAACCGAGTATAATTCCAGTGCCATGAACAAAACCACCACCGTCTGCCCTTTGCCAACCAGGCATTGTACTGTGGATACAATGGCCAGACTGCGTATACTTCATTGGTGCAACAACATAACCGAATTTGAAGTTCTTCACCGTTATTATACACTCTCCCTGAGCAGTGCTGCAATCATTTGCGCTTTCTGCTGTCTCATCGTCCTGCTCTTCTACGTTGTGAGAATTTGATTGGAGCCTCGCGTGACTTAACATCTTACACCTCATAGACGGCATCCATCTGGCTTCGATGGACATTCGTGTTATCTGCGCTGTTACTCCTGCTCAGAAATATAAATCACCCCGTGTCTCGTAAGTCGAACCGAGGCTAGGCTGCGATATGTTTATTGACAGCCTTCAAGAATCTGTCTTGATCATTCCGCCGCACGGACTACAATTAACATCACGTACAGCTGTTGGTCGTCATTTTGACACCTTTCTTCCAGCACATTCAATTTCGGATATCCTCATCAACGAAGGATTTAGCCGACTTAGCATGAGATATTACCTCGCCATTATTGTTGACCTCCAGAAATCTGGACGACCAGTGCGGATAGTCACTCCGCTTTCGGTAGGCCACTCTCTCGCTTGTGAGGCTGAGTGATTTGACTGTGTGAGGCAGGATGTCAAGCCGACATTCCAGATTCTGCAGGTGATCTATCATACAGTCCGAGAGGCTCTATTCAATGAGTATCAACGAACAGAGCGGTATGAGTAGCCTGAACTCTTCTTGTGGGTTTTGGGGAACCCCTTGATGATTCGCCAGTGCACGAGAGGAGCTCTTGTATTGCACAGGACTCCGCAGTAGCACGGGTGATGGCGTGGTGCGGAATGCCGATGAATGTTACCTAATCTGCTAACTCAGGTGTTTTACTACCCCTTTCCCGCTCAACAAGGAACTGAATGATCGGACTGTGGCTAGTGAGGCGCCCATATATTGACTGAAAGTGGAGAGAACACGCATGCCATGATCAAAGTGACAAGCACGTCACAAGAACGTCGTATCGGGCGCAAGGCCTCCTATCTTTTTGAGCGCAATATTCACCAACAGCACAATGCCGTATGTTGCAACACTGTGGCGGTACGTTCTTATCCCTCAGGAACTGCACTGCCTCGCCGCGAAACAACTCTATTCTCACGTGGTATGGGGTGACCTGATAATATCGGGCGCTTTTGTGATCGACGCCGGATGAGAGCCCACAGGTCCTTTGGATTGCGTGAGGCATTCAGTTTCCTCATACCTTTGCGCCGTGCGGATGCCCCCTCCTACTGGGCGGTGCACATGCTTCGTATTAGGCTGTAAAATATCGTACGAGTGTCAATCTTCACTTCACTTCTGCGAACTGCGCAGCACCCAGCGGTCCAATTCTGGACGAGGCAGAATAGACATCGTATGATTCTTTTGAGGGTTACAAAAAGTATAAAACGTCGAGCCAAAGGTGACCTTTGCCTCACCAACAAGCCCACACTTCGGTATATCCCCCTTCTTGCCGATCCCCCGAAGAAGATATTACAGTATGCAGCTTTCCAGCTTCGTTGCCATTCCCCTTCTCTTCCTGGCGTCGCAAGTCGTTGCTCAGTATGGTGCTCCGGGTTGGTAGATTCTTTGATACGCGAAATTGGTCGATTCTGACAGTCGATGTCCAGCACCGGCCCCCGCCCCCACCAGCAGCAGTCCCGCCGCTGCGGGCGCTAGTCCTTCTGCTCAAGCCGCAGTAACCAACGGCGCTCTTTGCATGGTTCAGCTGCCTTTCGAAACGACTATGGTTGCCCTTCTTTTGACGGGCAGCGTCATTGCTCTTATGTGAACTCACTCCGTGTGTATCTCGTTTTTGGTTCAACTCTGCTTATGATTTTAACCCCATTGTAGACGATGCCGTCGTGATCACTGAGCAACTCACTACATGATGCCTGTGGGAAGTTTGTGATTGTCGAAGTGTAGCTTCGTTTAGTTTCCTGTATCGGTGGACGCTTCACAATGCACGCTTGACTCCTAGACTTTGATCTCCCCCATGAGAGAGCTCCCTTATGGAGAATTGAAATGATGTCCGACAGAGTTCGACACGTCCGCGCTCTGGAGTCAGTTGTAAAGACCGCGCCACCTTAAAGAATTATTGAGGTCTCCCCGAGGGACCGGGGCTGCTTTCCTTTTTTTTGGACGCGACATAACCTCATGGTGTTTGCTTACGAACGCGTGTACTGTATCTGCGCACAATGTGACTGTCATAATGTATCAACACTGGAACGAAGTGATCATTTACGGCTGACTCGATATTTTGTTCCAGATACCAGAGTTGATAATCTGCACTCAGAATGGATAACCTCCGCCCCGATATGGGCAGAAAATGGTGCACGAGAATAGTATCCACGAGAGGGTAGGTGGCTACTACCTTTTCTCTCATCGAGCCAAGCATGGCTCAGCAGCCGCCTCAGTATTACACAATTCAGAATCTTGATCCACAAGCAGAAAGAGCCGTGGCAACATTAATATTATTATCTTTCCTGCTCTCTGTTGGGAATGCACGCACATATTAACATGCTGGATAGGGTGTTAGATTTGATACCTTACAATCATCGTTAACCTTGAATATTGTTGGGATGTCTTGGGGCGGGTCGGATATCCTTCATGATAAAGAGCAGCATTGTAAACGGTCACAATGGGCATGGGCATGCATGACATGAAGAAATATTAACGTACATATGTATGAGGAGCAAAGAAACCGTCGGAACCACATGAAATTGAGGGACCATGTATGACCTCGGCTCTTCGGAGTCGGGGAATGAGTTCACCGACACACTTGGCCAACCTGACTATTCCCTGCTTGCTCAGGTATCTTTACAAGAACGCCACGTATTCTATCACTCCGCTTCAACCTGCCAATACACACGCGTAGCTTTCCATCACGACATAGCCATCCACTACTCCCCGAAACTGTAATAGGCGATGCCGATGTCGTCACGTCCTTCCTCTGTGGAGTCTGCCGTCCCTCCCCAACCAGACCACTTCTATCCCTCGCCCTTCATCCGCCCTAACTGGCGCAATCCAAACGATCCAGGGTCATGCATATGGCCCGAGGAAGATATTTCTGCAACCAGGGGCATCCCAGTGTTCAAGCCAGTGTGGGAAGAGTTCCAGGATTTCGAGGGTTACGTTACCGCCCTCGAACCGTGGGGTCGGAGGAGTGGGATAATTAAGGTCATTCCGCCGAAAGAATGGTATGTTCCATTGAATTCATAAGCGCACATACATATCTGATATTCTCATGCCCCAAATAGGCACGATTCCCTTCCTTCGGTTGTCCCTCAACTCGCCGAAGTGCGTTTGCGCAACCCAATTGCCCAGGAAATGATCGGTACCTCGGGACTCTTCTACCAGTCTAACATGGAGAAACGCAAGACTTACAGCGTACGAGAGTGGGCTAACATGTGTGACAAAGATCCAAATCGTACGCCAAGTCCAGCCGCTGTCTTGAAGAGGGAACGAAGTGATAAGGACTCGCCGAGGAAACATGATCATAGAGCCCAGCTGCAGATCGATGAAGATGATGAGGATGCCAGAGATGAGAAAGAAGTAGAGATGAGAATGGATCTTGCACCGGACTGCGAACAGCAAACGCATCCGACACCCGAATTTTTGACGGATTCCACAACACCGCCCGGCAAGGCGTCGACGGCCACGCCTAGCATCGCAGGTGGAACTACCCAATGCGATGTCTCAGAAGATCGCAAGTTCTTTGCGTCCTTTGATCCGAAGAGGTCTTGGCTCCCATCTAACACAAAAGCTGAGGATTACACGCCGGAAGTTTGTGCTAAGCTCGAGAAGAACTTTTGGCGGAGCATCGGCAACGGCGGGTCACCTGCGTGGTACGGTGCCGACTTGAAGGGGTCACTCTTCACCGACGAGACTACATTTTGGAATGTAGCCAGCCTTCCAAATCCTCTGTCACGACTCTTGGGTACAACCGGCCGCAAGCTGCCAGGTGTCAATACCCCATATTTATACTTCGGGATGTGGCGAGCGGCCTTTGCATGGCATGTGGAGGATATGGATCTCTGCAGCATCAACTATATTCACTTTGGAGCACCCAAGCTATGGTGGGCCATTCCAAGCGAGAAAGCGAAGGCTTTCGAGCGGACAATGAAAGGTATGCCCGCCTTAGACCACCACACACGACAATTCACCCGCTATGGTATAGGATATTTTCCGGGAGATGCCAAAACATGTCCCCAATTCTTACGTCACAAATCGTTCTTGGTCTCTCCAACAATTCTCGCCAACAATAGTTGCCGCCCAAATGTTCTCGTTCAACATCAGGGAGAGTTTGTCATCACGTTTCCGCAAGGCTATCATGCTGGGTTCAATCTTGGCTTCAATTGTGCTGAAAGCACAAATTTTGCACTCGATGGATGGGAAGAAGTTGTAAGAAAGGCGGGTTGGTGCAAATGCGAGAAGGACAGCGTCAAATTGGACATAGATGCGTTGATTTTAGAGGCGAACGAGATCGAGGGGAAACATGCAAAAAACGTCAAAGCCAAGGGTGCCAGACTGTCGAAGAAACGCAAGATCGAGGAGATTGTTATTGACCATGCTGCCAGCCCTGTTAAGAAGACCAAGAACCGCGCAGCCGATATAGTCAAACCCACAATAGAAAACACGAGATCTTCAAGCCCCCATCTCCCGAAGGCCTGTCTATTGTGTCCCAGCTCGAACGAGGAGACTTTGATCAAGGTGCATGACTTGCCCCATACTATGCGCCATATGTTGGGTGTGCAAGCATGGGCACACGAGAGTTGTGCTGCTGCGCTTCCTGAGACCTGGGTGGATATGCTTGATGACGAGAAGTGGGTATTTGGCGTTGATGTCATCGAAAAGGCGAGATGGGATCTTGTAAGCACGCCTGGTTCTCTACTGAGCTTTTCTGCCAACCGACGCTTTCCAGAAATGCGCGGCATGCACCAAACCCACCCTGAAAAGTTATGGCGCAAAAATCCAGTGCACTCGCGGAAAGTGCCCCAGGGCTTTCCATGTGTCTTGCGCATTGGACAAGAGTGAAATACTTTACCAAGAAGTGGAAACGGTCGAAAGGGCAGTCCTGCTTGCATCCGATAATGCTGGGGACGCCACTATCCCGAAAGAGAATATTAACGTGAAGGAGGAGTGGGAAGAAGTTGAGATCCGTCACGCCGATGACCCGATCTGCGCCAAAACTACTGTTTTTGACGGCAATCGGAGGGCGGAATCCAGGGTGCTCAAGACAATTCAGAAGCCGGTGATAGAACTACTGTGTTCTATTCACAATCCTGTGCGCTACTCATATCTGGTCCTAGCCACATCACTGACAAACTATCAGAATATGCGTGTGCTCTCCAAGCAGAGAAAGGACGAAGCGCGGAGGAAGAACGTGCTCGCGCTCAAAGAAGGCGACCGCATTCGTATTCGTCTCAGCAGCGGCGTTTTTGAAGTCACATTGCTTAAGGTTGACGAGATAACCGAGAAAGTGGAGGTTATGTGGGATGATCAGTATGACAGCCTCCATTTCTCTGTTCGATGACTTGCTGATTGCAATCAGCTCTCGGCGAGCTATTAAATGGGGCAGCATTCACTGGGGGCCAGTCTCCGACGAAGTCCTCGCTGCCTCCAAAGCCAAGCAGGAAGCAAAGGAGGAAGAAGTGCTCGAGGCCAAGCTCCGTCGATATCAGGAATCTCTTCGTTTGGCGAAGAAGCGGGCTACTGTTCATCACTTACCGGCGGTGTCCATCTACGATACACCCTCCTCCACACAAACGATGTGCCCAACCAGCTCCAGTACGTCTTATTCCATTTCGACCACAGGCCCCCCCAGTTCAGATATTGTTTTGGCTGCCCCCTCGACAGCTGCACGGCATGTTGCCGAGCAAGCCACCGGTAATGACTATCGCATTCCCCGGTCCCAACAGAACAGCGTCTCGTCAGAGGGTGGCCCGTTGCATATGCCTCCATATCCAAGGTATCCATATCCTCCAGGATATTGGGCTGCGCCAGGTTATGTGGGGTACTGGCAACACGCCTCTTCTCCAGGCCATGGCTGGTACGACTACTACGGCCGTTGGCATGAGACCTCCGTGCCCGCATATGGTCATTATGGAAGCCGCGCTCGTTCTCAAGGTGAGGCAACTTATTCTAGGCACGGTGAACAAGGTACCTCCCGGCTCGATACCCAAACGTATGTCCGTGGTACACCGACACCCAGACATAAAGATCTCACCGCGAACGCAACTTTCAAGCTCGGCCCGAACATTGACATCCATCGCCCTGCTTCAACTGCCATAACCCATTCTACCGCGGAGATGTCAGTCCGACCATCCGAGACACACACCGACGAGGAGTCGCATCCACCCACATGCGATACACTAAGCAATATCGACTTGATTCCACTTCTCAACACGTTGATGAAGAACGAGAGAGTTCGCACTACATTGTTGAAGCTGCGAGACTCTTTGGCTAGCCAGTTGGATCATGATAATAACTCTTCGGTAAACCCTGTATGCGTAGATGAACGCTCGCCGTGATCGGACATTGTGGAAGGAATGTGTTTAGAATGTTGTTACACGTGATAGGAAAGAAGTCAAAGGTCACGTGATGTGTAATAAAGGGGCAGAGTGGTCGCGTCCCGCGTCCCGCGCCCCCTCCAAGTTCTCTCTTCTCACAACAGTGCGGACGGCCTCCTTCACGTTTGTATAACATTGCATTTCACATGGATACCTTGCACAACAATCCTGCGTCTGCTCGAGACGCCAATTTTAAGTCTGCTCAGGAACCTGCCGATAGCAAGTCCGCTACGGGCAGTGTGACCAAGCGATTGGGCAATGAACTGATGGCGCTAATGGTGAGTATTTGGCGTGAGGTTGGTACCGACACATGCTAACAGTCAACGCAGATGTCAAGCTCGCCCGGGATTGTACGTCTCTTTTTCCCCGTCCGCTAACGACGAGTGTTAAAACAGAATAGTCCGCATTTCCGAAATCAGATGCGAACTTGTTTGACTGGATTGGGACCATAGAGGGAGTCCCTGGAACAGTGCGTGATCCCCATCATACAATATATATAATGACAACCATTTTCAATAGGTATACGAGAATTTGAAATACAAGATCTCGATCCATTTCCCCAGCAACTATCCATTCATTGCGCCCATCATTCGCTTCGAAACGCCCTGCTACCATCCCAACGTCGATTTGCATGGCAACATATGTTTGGATATCTTAAAGGTATAATGTTATGTGGTTGTTGTCCCCCAAACACGTTTGACAGGATCACTGCTTGCAGGATAAGTGGTCGGCGGTTTACAGTGTCACTACCATCCTCCTATCGCTCCAGTCGCTCTTGGGAGGTAAGCACGAGGCAATGACATGTTTTGTGCGGTGCTGACTAGCTGTTAGAACCAAACAATGATTCCCCGCTCAATATCGATGCGGCAGACCTGTGGAGTAGCCAGCAAGGTACGCACCAGTCGATCTTGTTGTCCAAGAAGTCAACCTGACAGTTTGCAGCATTCAAAGAACAGGTCCTCAGACATTATCAACCTCTGGTGGCGGACGATTAGATGAGGATTCTGGTTGCCCTTTGTGCGGTGCGCGATTGATGGAGCAGGGCACTGCAATACAGTGCGGAGCCCTGTCAATTACATTCCTAATCTTCTGTGAGGAAGAAGGCATTCATTGTATGCTCAGACGGAATCAATGGCATACGAATATGCCCACAACAAGGAACCCAAGAGCATGTCCAACATGCGAGACAATAATTCAGGAAAAGTGGGCGATTCTTTATTCCAATAATACTCCAATCCACTACAGCCTCGCATGTTCGATTGCTTCTGCCTCTTGAACGGCCATATCACGAAGAACCCGGCGCAGAATTTTCCCAGATGCACTAGTCGTATGTTGAGCATTCTTTGTTTCAACTTCCATGCGACCATACCTTTTGGGGATAATATCTATACACACAACACCTAGAATAACACGCCATCAGAGCTGATCATCTCATTTGTGACCCTAGCCTGCGCACCGCCTCTCAATTGTTTATGCTTTGTAGGACGTGAATAATTCGTTCCAGAGTGTAGAGCAACTCACATAAGCAACCTTGCTCTTCACCCATTCCTGTATCTCGATTGCCAGCTGGGACTGTGCATGTGTGTCAAGGGAACTCAATCCGCCCTTCGGCACGATGTACCCTCTTACAGCAAATGAATTAAACAGGCGTGGAATGGCCGAAAGACGCTCACCTCGGTAGCTCAGTTGCTTCGGCTTTTGACATCAAGCCGATTACGGCTGCATCTTCCACTTGCGGATGTGATAACAACAGACCTTCGAGTTCAGCCGGAGGAACTGGAAAGCGCCAAATTAATCGCATTCCTTAAACTGACATTCAGCCCACCTTGGAATCCTTTGTACTGCCGGGTGGGAGGAGATTAGTGAGGTGACCGCGCAAAGGTGAGTCGGCTGACCTTGATCAATTCTTTCTTCCGATCAACAATGAAGTAGAATCCATCCTGGTCAACAACTGCAATGTCTCCCGTCTTGAACCAGCCATCCGGCGTGATAGAAGCTCTGGTAGCCTTTTCATTTCGCCAATAACCTCTGTTCACGAATGAGATATGTTCATGGCCCCACGCTGACGAGACTTGCCTCATCACAGTGGGACCTTTAATCCAAAGTTCACCCGGCTGGCCGGGTTCAACATCAGTCTCCTCGTCCTCGCATATAAGGCGAGTCTGCAAATTCGGTAAGAGTCTGCCGACAGAGCCTGCCTTGGTGGTGATCGCCCACGTAATCATCATGTGGGACGTGGGTGATGTTTCAGTCAAGCCATAACCTTGCATGATCAACACATTTCCGCCTCGTGCTCGCAGCCGAGTCTGGGCACGCAAAGCAGTATCTGCTGATAACGGTGCAGCACCAGAGAAGAATAATCGCAAAGAGCTGAAATCAAACTTTTCCACAAGTGGATGCGTAGCAAGCAAAACCAGTATGGGGGGTACCACGTATGCGAACTAGAAAGGATGAGCTTGGTATGACAAGCACGCAAGAATGCCACTTACAGTGATATGAAACTTCTCAATCGCATTGCAAAAGTTGTTGAGGTCAAAGCGAGGAAGAATAATTGTCGTAGCGCCACGAAACACGTTGAACATCAGAATCTAAATCCTAACTCAGTCAACAATTTACACGCCCTCCAGTGACCCTCACTTGAACAAGCCCATAGATGTGGAACTGTGAAAGGAAGGCTTAGCAGTGATCAGCGAAAGTGGGAGGTCGCAACCTACAAAAGGGAGCACCGCAAGAATAATGTCGGATTCGCATATCTCAGAAGGGGATACCACGGTCACCAGAGAGTTCACATTGAAATGAGTAGTCTCCACGCCCTTCGGAAGCCCACTTGTGCCCGAAGAGTAGGGAAGAAATAGCGTCGTATTGCTTTGCATCCCATCGAAAGCCGCCCTCTCAGCCTTTTCTGTTCCAATTAAATCGTCCAGCTTGATCCAGTCCTTGAACTTCTCGTCGATACGGTCAGAGAATGCCATGAGTACAACGCGCCTTTGTACGTCTTTATCAGAAACTCCGAGGCTCGTGAGCGTTTCAAGGAGGACTGGCAGCACAACAGGATCCACAAAAACATGCATCGCGGTAGAGTCCTTATACTGATAAGCGAGTTCTTTTGGTGTGTACGCTGCATTAGCCAGAGTCACTCGGATGCCCGCGGCAGCCTGCCACCGGAGAGTGAGTGCTGAGGAGAATACACAAAATGTAAGACTCAACGGCGGCCAGTAACATGACGGGATATTCTAGGGAGTTCGGACTTATAACCAAGTTGAGACTTCGCGCCAGGGCCACAAGAATGACGGACCTGAATATCATAACCACGTCGCCCCGATGTAGGGGATGCGCCCCCATCTTCTCCAGATTGTTTCGTAACCCATACGCCAGCGACAAACACATCTCTTTCAAGCCATCGCGTGTGACGCGTCGAGAGCCATTCGTGCCATCAATGAAAGCGACTTTATGTCCAGGAACGGGACTACTGAAGACGTAGTCAAAGACGGAGCAGCGCGCGACAGAGAGATCGAAGGGAGGAAAATGTGAGTTGTATATGCGCATGTTGTACAAGGTCGCGGGGAGGAATTGACGAGAGAAATCACATTGGATCGAAGAGTCGGATCTTAAATGATTTTCATTAACAGCTCAAGACATTCCCGCGCGTAAACATGTCCATCATGGGTGTGGCAGAAACTCGCCGATTTTCCCTCCGTGGGGTCAGTACGCTGGGGATGAGTCAGCGGCCTCTCCCCCAGTGGTATTTGGATTAATCTTGATCAGAGAGCCGAGCGTTGACATTACTGGATGTGCGAGAGTGTTTGGGCAGGTACACGCCCGTCGGTGATGGTGCAACGTCCGCTGTTGACAGCTTAGGCACCGGTTATTGAATTGACAGGCATTTTCAGATGAACACTGTCCATCACGCGACCAGAACGCAAGCACATGACGGTGTGCCACACACAGCCACCACAGGGGGAGGACCCTTTCAAGGTCAACAGAAACAACACCATTGAACATTGGTGCTATTGCTGCCATCATTAGTCAATAGCTTGTGACGCTGGTCGTGTTGTGCTCATTGTTATATATTTTCTTGTAGTAACGCATTGAGAATGCGCCATCTATAAATCAAGTATGTGTCGTAGCTTGGTATGTATCCCAATCATGGACGGACCATGTTCGCTCAAGATAGGTGCGTGTGCACGCTGCACCAGCACACCAGCACATGTCCCTCTTGTCTTCTGTACACGTACCCCTACCTTGCGCCTATTCCACGCACATTGTCATCTCTCTCTCATCAATATTCCCTGATACTTGCAGTGCAATATGGAACGCAGAGACACTTCTTACAACGAATACCTTGAGAGTAACACAATCACCTTGGAGTGGACGCTCAGGGGTCTAAAGCAGCTATTCGACTCGAGGTACGAGAGGTGCTTCTGCCACTTTCCCGAGCACTGCTTATTATATGACGTGCCGTAACCACAGCAAAGGCGAGGCAAAGGTGAGATTTTCAAACCCTTTCAAAAGTTTCCGTGATCTGAAAAGTCGACAGTCTAAAGTCACCCGAAGTGTCAAATTCGGTGGAGGGTGTGTCGATTGCTTGTTGACCCTGGCTCAAACTTATAATTTGGAGACGCTGGCAGATTCTATTCTATCCAAATTCGGGAGTGACAAGTGATGGGGGAGGTTATGTGAGTCTGTACTTGTCCTGTGAAGTACGTGCGCATCCCTTCCAGGCTACCCAAAGTTCATGCCCGTTGAACGCAGCCTACGGCTGAGGAGAAGGCAGGTGCAATAAACGGAAAATGGGTGCGCGAAGGTCTGTACAAATTCAGCTTTGAGCTGAGAAAGTGTGCCGTTATATCGCCCCTCCTCGACCTTTGACTAAATCGAGCGCAGTGTAAACAAAGGCACATTATTCAACACTAAAGAAGCTGTAGATCACGCGTTTTCTCATCAAACAGCAAACTGGGGCTGGTCAGTCGAAGTTGAAATCAACATGCATGAGACTCAACGCTCTGACAGGGCTCAGTTCGCCAAGCGTGAAGTTGTTTACTATTCCGCGAGTGCCGTGAGTTGAGACTGTATCCGGAATAAGCAATGCTGAAAGTGCACCAGGTCCGTTTACAGGATGCTTTCCTCATCATTTGTACCATTACGTCTTCACCGACCCCTCCTATTCCGCCATCCGCTATTCCACGCCAGCTGGTCCCCCGGGACCTACTCAACGCAGTCGGTGCAATCCTGGACGATCCGGCGTACAGTGATGTTGAGTTTGTCCTGCCAGCACGGGCAAATGGCGGGCGAGCCCGTCATATCTGGGCTAATCGCAAACTCCTCTCCCGAGCTGAATACTTTTCAACTAGTAGAGAAGCATTCCTTTCTCAAGTGGTCACATTCGAGCTGACTCCTTTTCCAGTGTTCAGTTCCGGATTTGCAGAGGGAATTTCGGTCGGGAACGATCACAGCTTATCCATTGGTCGAAGTGAATCACCCGGGCATTCACAGGTGGACGATGACGATAGCAGAGACATGGTGAGCAACCCATTTGTACCCCAAGAACGATCACCTTGCTCACTGCCCTCAGACCAGTGCATTCGTTACCGGATATCCAGATGATTCCGATGAGGATGATGATGACATTGATGACATGGTGTCAGAAGCTGATTTCGATGAATCCGAGTCTGGAGCTGAAACAATCGGAGTGCCAGCAGAGTTACCAGATATCGGGCGTGATGAAGGCATAGACCTACCGGGAACGACATCTCTGGTGGAGTCATCCCGCAGCTCCAAAAAGCGAAAGATCGCCCATTCAAGCCATCAGCCTCCTGGACCTCCGAAAACCAAAGTCATCGTGCATGATGTGGCATATGCAACTTACAAGGCATTTCTTTATTATGTGTGTAATGCAGCTTCCCTCAGTCCCTGCTGACTTGGACTGAATAGCTCTATACGGACTCAATTGTGTTTGCGCCCCTCTCTTCGAACTTCCTCATCTCTAGCGCACGTCAGGAGGAAGCCCCCTCCCTTCGGATGTCCGCCTCGGCGGCTTCCCTCGGCCTGCTGGCCAAACCTGGTGAGGCATCGAACATGAAATCGCAAAGCGTGCCGATGCCGTCGTCTCAATCCGAAGGGTCCAAGACAAGGAAAGCTTGGGTTGCCGAATGGCAGGCTTCCAATCCCGATAGACCTGGTCCTTGCTCCGCGAAGGCTATATATAGGCTCGCTGATAGTACGCTGCTCTTCGGTTTGGGCCCGGGGAACGTCAGCCTGGAAGCATGTTGCTGACGATGACACCCAGAGCTTGACCTGCATGATTTGAAGGCGCGCGCATTTCAACACATCACCAAGAGCTTGACGACTACCAACGTCCCATACGAAATCTTCTCTTCATTCTCTGCTCATTTTGACGAAGTCAGGAAGGTATGAGATGCAAAAGAGACCCGTTTCTGTCCATTCACAGCCCACAGGTAGAGGTGGACTTCTTCTTGTCTCACTGGGAAGAGATTAAAGGCAGTGATGCGATGCGCCATATCTTCCACCAAATTCGGAATGGCAGACACCCCGGGTTTGAAGACGGTATTCACCTTTGCTGCTCATTGGGATGGTGCTAATATAGCTATCAGTGTGGCCGTACATCGTCACAAATCTAGTTTACAAGCCTGGGCATATTGATACGGCGAGTGGCGACGCAGCAGAAGGCTGACAGGTTCCTAGAGCAGCCGCGGTTTCTACAGAGGCAGAGCATCCACTTGCAGTTCACATCAGTCTCCTTTATTTATGGCATGTAAGCTAGGCGTTCATCATGCCTATGAAGTGTCTTCGTCATTTTTGCATAACATAGTTTTCACATCCCGACCTGTGAAATCGGTAGAATGGTGCTGTAAGAATCATCAATGTCTAGAATTCGGCGACCAGACACATCAATCCATACCTGCAGCCACGCAACTCTCGCCGTTGGCCATCCATCACAGAAAGCCTTGAGAAAGGGATCCGCAAGCCACGCGGAAACACACTTCCCGAAATTACCTTTTGCAGTTGTTCTTGAGGTAGTCAGAACACAAAACCACCTATGGGATGACTCACTCTACCTATTATTCACAGAGTGCCTGTGTTCGAGTGAGAAAACGTAAGGTAAAAAGATGAATTGCTCTACCTCAGCCATGCCACCGCCAGAATAGCATCTTCACTCCGACACGGCTCTTCAGAACTGAGCAACCCCTCGAGATGACTGCTCTGAGTCACGGTGTTTTTGACAGGCGTGACGTGAACGTACCTTTCGTATCTCTCTCGCTTCCCAATTCAATGTTATTGCAGATGGGTAATCCATCAGATCACGCCCCGGCATCAGGAACACCTCAGGATGCTGTGCCTCGATAACGACTGCCGTCGCACCAGCAGTAGACGTTGCCGACAGTAGCAGTTCAGGAGAGGAAGGTGCTGCGCCTAGCACCCGAACCATTGATACAGTTCGAGTTCTCTTTTCGTCTTCCATTGTCACATTAAACTTTGTCAGAGGGTGTTGGGTGAGAACGTGAGCATAGAAATTTGCGATTGAAGAAGAGGAACGAAGGAGCGGGCACAGGGGACATCTCCACCCAAATGACCCGGTGATAGTGTACGCTCTCGGACTGGGTAAGGAAGGCGATGTCAAGGAAGATTCCATAGACTGATATGCCCAAACAGTGCGAACATCCGCGGGACGATGCTGCAGACGTTGGGGTGTAATCTTGACGATTGGGGCAGAAAGGATTTCCGGATGGTACAACTGAATGGCTGCCGTAGCCGAACTTGGCGGCTGGAAAGCCGCTCTTGTGCGGTCCTTACGCAAAAAGACAATAGACACTGTGCACATCCGGATATCGCTATCGCCATCCGGGGTAAATATGTCCCAGTGAGTCGCCAAGACGTGCGCTCCCCCAAGTCCATTACTGCAAGCCCGATCTGCTCTGTCCTGGAAGCGGTCCAGCTCGAGAATAGCAATCAAAGGTTCTCCTTCGGTCCATTGAGCCGCTATCGTTTCAAGCTCGTGCTTTTCTAGAATGCGATCACAGGCTGGAGGTGACATGGTTTCCGCACGGGAAAGGCGGATGCGAAAGCTCGTCAACAAGTACCGACGCGGCCCCTGGAGAGGATCAGGACACGGTCAAATGTAAGTCATATGCGCACTTGTTTGAGCATCAGGCACATACGGCAAGTAACGGGTATGTCTAGCTACAAAGTAAGCAATGACCTATTGGGTTGAAGTGTGGCATACCACGGTTCAAAGGAGGGTCCCTGGAGAATATGTCTAACACTGCTGCATGCAGCCGAATGGATTCCACTCGTATAGCAAGCCTCTGCAATGCACCGCTGTGGAGAATGAGGCAGATTCACAACTCTATCAAGAAGCGTACTAGGTTAAAATGTTACGGGAAGCTCGTTTCTTCATGTCAATCAATTCCTCCATGATTCTGTGCACAGTACGGCGACGGCTTCTTGTATGGACATGGCCAGAAGAAAGCGTCCTCTGTAAGAAAGGCAGTTTCGCTCGCACAAAGAGCACTTCTGCAACGTCGTAAGAACGGAGTATGCGGCGGACATCCGATGTTTGGGTTTGAGAATCCCCCGGCTCCTCGCCGAGTCCATCGATCTCGAGCGCAGGTGCCACAACACAATGTGTAGTACCCGAATATGCGGTCTTACGAAGACCTTGGAAGAGCTGTCGCGAGGGTGCTGTGCGCATCACCTCATCAGCGGCGCTGGGAAAATTCGCGGCTCGCTCAACACCGGTGAGGGAGTCAGTCTTTCTATACGATGGGCTAGTGCCGGGGGATAAGGCTGAGCCCGCTTCAGGTTCGCGTGTTCCAGCGATGCCGTCAATTACAGGCAAATGCAATACATCTGCGGATGGCCTGACGGTCATGCGTGCCGCAACTGGACGGATGCTTGCATGAGCAGGGATGTTCTGAAGCACTGCCTTTCAGGCATCAACGCGAAGTACATGTTTGCCATGGAACTCACGAGACGCTGGGGACCCGGTCGAATACGCTTCCTGAACAACCCAGAATATATCTCGCTTGTTCCGTTCTCCAAAGTGTTGTAGAAAGAAGTATGACGCGACGAACTTTGCTGAGAGGTCGCTGATGCCTTCATTACGATGGGCGTTTCATCGACGCGAGCCACTGTAGACGACGACGTGATATCCTCAAGGAGAGCATCTATCCACCGATGATCCCCCGTTGACAGTGATAACGAGTGGTCCATCGTAACAGGAGCAAGTCCCTGAGAGTTAGGAGCGAGAGTCAGGTAACCGTAATGGGCCAGGCTTGCCCAACGTGAGATCGATTCCGGGCGTGGTGCTGAGCAGGAGCAACGATATCACTACTCAAAGAATATTCTCGCCCACCATTTGAGTAGCTTATAGTGAAGAGATTCAAAACCAGGGCTTCTCTGTGTCGCCAACGAAGCAATCACCACGAGGTCCTTTAATCCTATACATCCAAGAGGGAGGTAATTCCTCCGATGACCCCTTTCGGGCGCATTTTGCCTACCATGACCACTCGGGTGCAAATCCCTGAAATGACCCCAAGGCCTGCCCTAAGCAACCACGGACCTTCCAATTAAGGAAGATGGTGGTTCAAGATGCGCTAGGGTCCGGTCTCTTCATGTCGGTTTATAAAGCATATTCCGACAATTAATTCGCAAGCTTTGTCTTGTTTTTTCATTAGTTATGTTACAGTATATACATTAATTCTGCATGGATGCCTCGTATAATAATTCACCGATTTTCACCATCGTAAACATAGGTGAGGAAACACCGCACTTTTACGGCAAGGCAATGAATTTCGCAGCAGTTCTTGAAAATAATAGATACCATACACAATGCCAACCAGCTTGTCTTTTGGAAAAGGTCTGTTCTGATAGCAAAACATCATCGTTGGATTCACCGGAGACACGTGCTTCTATTGCCACAGCCACAGCTTTCCTTATTTGGTTACTTAGGGGCGGCATTTGGGGTCACAGGGATTTGCGCCCGAGGGGTCATGGTAGGCAAAACTCATCCAAGAGGCGGGAAACACTGCCCCACAATTCTGGCACACGTTTGGGGCCTCTTATATTATCCCTCCCCATCTCAGCACCGACGCAAGACACCACTTACACATCCGCTCTCTCACCGTACTTCTGCTGGTCGGAAGTCAAACGCTCACTCACTACGTTCTCTGGGTGTGTATGCGTCAAGAACAGACCTACCTGCGAGAAGCTGACATAACCCTTACTCGAAGGTCGTCAGAATGCCCCGTCGTCCCCCTCCTTCAGCGCTTCTCCTTTCGAAAGGACCTACGCCTGCTCGAGGATATCCCAAGTTCACACTCCCCGCCAAGCCCCAGCGCGTCCTGATTCCCATACAAGCCTCACCACTATCACACCTGGACAGCGTCTTACATCGATGTGCATTGCCATCATCATCCTCCGAGCCGAATGCCCTGTTACTGCCTCCTGCTCCGACCATGGCAAAGCGAAGGCAGATGTCAGTTTCAAGCGAAACACCCCCACCTCCCTTAGTGCTGGAGCGCTCGCAGAAATATTTGTTCTGGTAGACCTTTGTTTGAGCATGTGTATGTTCTTCATGGTTTCGTTCGGGACCGAGGGGACAAGGAGTACAGATGCGAGAGAACTACTAGTCCAACTTCACGAATCCTTGTAGTTCTTTTTGCCCATGCAGATGTGTCCGGTGCATTTTGATATGTTTCATGGTGTGGACTGAGGGAACTCGAGTGTCACTTGAGCACTTCGAGCGTTGTACAGGACAGTAGTGCGCACGAAGTCACGAGCCTTGGACTTGAACAGGCGAGATGATAAGTTGTCACTTGGGGGTGGCGCGAGCAGAGCTCGCACAGCCAGTTCCCCCCAAACGGCATACAGTAATAGTAATGTGACAAGTTTCACACTGAGGTGCCATATGTTTCTAATGAAAAAATATAATAATGAATAGTAACTCCCCCATGGAATTTGGAGGGTGCTGATAACAGACCCTGACAGAAATTAGTACATTTTTTAAATTAGAGTAGTAATAATAAAATTTAATGAACTAAAAAAAGTGTATGAAGTGTACAAAATATACACTTGATTGTAAGGGTCTGGGTAAGACCCTCAAATATGTGATGCGAATTTCGGACCCTAGCTTGCATTTGTACACATTTCTAATAGCAAGGTCAATTCATTTTCAACTACAAAAAAAGTGTACAAAGTGTACAAAAGTGTAGACTTGATTGTAAGGGCCCAGGTAAGACCCTCAAAAATGCGACGCGGATTTTGGACCCTAGCTTGCATTGTGGTACACTTTAATAGGAAGGTTATAAAATATATCAATTTTCTAACTACAAAGAAGTGTATAAAGTGTACAAAAAAGTACACTCCATTGTAAGGGCCCAGGTAGGACCCTCAAAAATGCGACACGGGTTTCGGACCCTAGTGTGCGTTTCTGACGGAATCACTTTACTTCTGTTTCATGTGAAAGTGCTCTTACCGGATCTGGGATTAAGGTCAGCTTCACCTCCTCCCTTCGATCAGGGGAATCAGAACCTCACACATCGTGTCTTCCAAAATGTTTCCTGCCTTCATGGAACAATGATTTAAGTTCCTCTCTACAAGGTATTACATGGGGGTGTGCTTTGATGTGGTTAGATCAATTTTATTTCTAATTCTAATTGATATTTATGATTATTATTATTATTATTATTATTATTATTATTATTATTATTATTATTATTATTATTATTATTATTATTATTATTATTATTATTATTATTATTATTATTATTATTATTATTATTATTATTATTATTATTATTATTATTATTATTATTATTATTATTATTATTATTATTATTATTATTATTATTATTATTATTATT